ATCGTTCCTCGCGCGATTTTGCGCAAGGAATTGGGATATTGACCTTGTTATCTGGAGTGGATTAGAAGCTGCAACAAAGATCAAATGGACAGGAAACTTACCGACGTCTGAGACTGGGGCTTGGCACTACCAGAGAGATGAATATAATCGAGCTTTCGCTCCTCCAGTGGTCGTTCTTGGAGCGTTTCGTTGCCTTTCGGTTTCCCCAAGTTCTGGAAAGGAAACTAGTTTGGTAAATAGCGCAGAAAAGGGGCGAAGCGCACACCATAAGATCCTTCATTAAATCTCCAATAGCACCGGGAACCTTCTGCCTTTCCCAGTCTGCATTCATAACTACCATATCATCCTCAAACCCCCTCAAAGCTTGATTCATCCCAACCTTCTTCAAGAACGACCGTATCACTTCATCCCAATGATGATGTAACTCGGGCTCTGGGGTCGGCGAACGCGGTTTTTGTGTAACCTTGGTCCTCTGACGCGGCTGGTAGGTTACAGCAGGGGGTTGATATTGAGGATAGGGAACCTGAGTGTAGTGTGTCTGCTGCCCTGGTACACTACCGGACGCGATGTACGGGTAGGAGGGAACCTGCCACGCGTTCTGCCACCCACCGGGCGTGTAGCTCATCGCGTAGTAGCCTTGAGGATTCTGCCCTTGAGTTGCAGGCCCATATTGTACAGGCTGAAGCTGCGAGGAAGGACCTGCTGTTATAGCCTGTTGCGAAGTCGTACTAGACGCTGGAACAGGGACTATGTGAGCCGGTTGTTGTGCTGACGTTTCTGACGGCTGTGAGGGACCTGCTTGGGAGGGCGGAGGACCGTTTGTCATGGCGCTGTCACGGTAGGTTCTTCTGTCGTAATCTGTCGAAGAGTCACAGTTGAAGTAGCTGTTCTGCAAGTTGGTGCAGAGTAGTCAGTAGCCCGTTTTTTGGGGGGATACCGTACTAGGGACAATGTGGTTCTCAGTTTAGATTTTGGACGTGACCTCTAGCTAGTACACAGTACAGGTACTATGTTTTGCTACTCCATCAGCATTCCATATATAGTATATGCGCTCTTCTCTTCTCAAAACTCATGATGGCACCTGCTCCGAAGATACAAAATAGTAATCGTGTAACATTCAACGTGTTCAAAATGCAAAAGGCTTGGTGGAGGCAAACCTGTCCCATCCTTTGTAGAACGTTTAAACCAACATACTATTAAGTCTTCGTTCCCTTTGTGCTCGCTCTCACGTTGAACATCGATCGGTTCGTTTTCAGCACAGTGAATGAGACGCGACGTTCAAATTGGATTCGTATCAGAGAAATTCTATGAAACACCATCATCACCGGAACGCGCTACTTGCATTCGCATCGATAGCGCAAAGGCGTCTCGGAATGCGCTTACAAAAGTCTCTGAGCGCGTTTGTGTTAAATTGTTCTGCCAGCGACATACCAATCGAGTAGATCTATAACATCACCCTTCAAAATTCCCTACTACCAACCAGCTCTTCTATGTTCAAATTTCTTTGCACTTGTCTCAAGAACTCCAAGTGCCTTCGGAATCACGCTCGCATGTGCTTCTCGATCCGCTACCCCTATGCCTTCGCTCCTCACGGATCACCGATGAAGCACAACCTCAGCAACGCCCGAGTCCGTCGGTGTCACGTCCACACGCAGTCATCGGCCGCCCGTGGTCGTTCATTCGCTCTTCACCCAACACCAATGAAGCAATAGAGCTCTCAGAACGTCCAAGACAAAGTATCTCCTATCGTCGAAGTCCTCATGTTGTCAAAGTTGCCACAAATCGGGATAAGCATGTATGTTTTTCTTGTATGTGTCCAATTTCTGGGATCCTATTATTTCTAGGCAGACACTGCATGTTGCTCCGCGGTTAGTGCGGGCGAATGGCAAGGTGAAATGCATCAGAGATCCGACACAGTGGACTGGTTTTGTGTTGTTTGTTTGCTGCGTATCTATTCAACACACCAGAGACGCCGTGCGTGGACAGGTTTTCTATTTTTCAAATAGTCTCTTGGTTCCTTTCATTGTCATCCCATTCTAGACACCTTCCGCTACCAGAATATTGCGACTTGGCCCAGTACTCGGTGCGCGTTGGAGCCATTTGATAGGACACAAGCAACGTCATGAGACCGAGTCAATAGGCATGTCATCGGTCTATATAATTCACTAAGAGTGACCATGACAGATGAAAATTGTTTGCTTGTCTATCAATGGTGCTCCTGATCCAATTTCTACGAGCATACCATCTCTAAAACTTGTTTGTCTGTCAATGTTGTTCCTGATCTAATTTACACGAGCATACCACCTCAAAAAAATTGTTCCAGAGCTCCATCGTATTCGTTTACGGGTCTGGTCAATTGGGCCTGTCCACACAGCACCAGCTGACACCAGTTCCGGATCTCCAGCTTCCTGCAATGTCATCGTGTTCGTTTACGGGTCTGATCAATTGGGCCTGTCCACACAGCAAGCACCAGCTGGCACCATTTTCGGATCTCCAGCTCCCTGCATTGTCATCGTGGGGAAACGATCTGCCACGTACGTCCGTCAATACGGTTTTGGACTCAAGCTTCCTCTGCTTCTGACCTGGAGCTGTAGGATTTCAAATAATTGTTATTCTCCAAGCTTATTTAGGTCTTATGCCAATACTTTTCTCATTCCCAGAGTCACTGATTCACTGCTGCACTATCACATGATTCTTAATGCACAATTGAGTAATGCCCAACGCGCGTCGGGGCTTACAACTCTATATATATTTCGTTCGGAACAGCTGGAGAACAAGTAGTAGTATGTGTTCAATAAGCTTACCAAAGATTCAAGATCGACGCTTTCCTGAGCTGAGCGCTATCGGACTTTGAATACCGAGGCGCCGTGCGTGACAGCGTGACGAAATTGTGTTCCATTGTAGTCACCTTTATTGGAAATTGTCGCGGGCAATCTTACTGGTCGGTCGCTGGTCGGGTGTGTTACATCAACCATCTCTTAGTGGCGTTTTGGTGCTTCTGTCGCCACTAATGATTAATGATGGCTGTAATATATGGTCCTGTCTCCAAGTCATCGCCTCATGTATAAGTACTGTTATAGAATATGTTTCCTCTAGGGCGATGATAAGTCATACTTCGGCAAGTATGTGTACCAATATATCTTTGACTGTTGCCCGCTCCCAAACGGTATCTGGATCATGTACGTCAATGGGTCCCTCTTCCCAGTCTAAATTCATCCCTTTTGGTATCACTCCCCGTCGACTTACAGCCCCGCAAACTGCGCTGCTCAGAATTTCATCCACAGGCGAGTCCCTTACCCTGACCCGATGTGACACCACTCTCGGAAAAATCCTCGCCACATCCGCCTCTGACACATCCAGTTCTAGCGGTTCCTCATGTTCGATGGGTGCACTCCGTGTGCTGCGGCGAGTATGCACGCTAGTCACGTCAGGTACATCGTATGGCAGTGCGGAGCCATCTATAAGCGCTTCAAAGCTCTGGGTGTTCGTGCTGGACCGGGGATACCCGCGTTCGGTGCTGTCTTCATCAGTGCGCTCTGGATCATTGATCGATGCTTCCTTAATTAACTCTGCCCCTGTTTGATCGACTCCGAGCACCCGAGAAGCCCGCGTGAGGATTTCCGCGTCTTGACGTGCACGCGCGGTGAGCATCATGGCGTCAAGCGCACCAAAATGCCGCGTGGCAGTAAACAAATCTGCGAGGTATATTTCTAGCGGCGGGCGCATGCGAACTTCGGTGGCACATAGGCTCTTTAGCCTTGCCAAGAACGTGGCAGGTATTATGGGCGCAAAGTTGTTTGGTGGAGGAGGGGTTGGCGGGCCTGACATAGCCATGTTAGGGAATGGGTACCCCGGTATTGAGGGCGAGGATAGGGCTGTGGATGGTGTTGAGGTGCGGTGAGGTTGATAAGTATGCATCGCAGCTCGTGTGGATAGCTGAACATTGATAGGTGTACTCATAGCAAACCAGTCGAGCTGGAACATATAAGATGACACATGACACCGTATAGAAGGTACATACCAGGCTGTTATATATAGGTGGTCTCTCATGCGGATCTAAACGACATACATAGACCATGATAAAATCGACTGGCAGATCAAGCTGCAATTCTGATTCGATTTCTGAGTGGTTATCCGACACAACGAGCTTCTTCTCTGCAAGAGTCCGTAAGACAGCACGCTGCGCAGGTAAACTAGCATGTTCTAATCCAGAAACGACAATTGCAGATGGTATCTTAAGCATATCTGAGTTGACATGCGATGTACGACGGTGATGGATCGCCACATTGCCACTAGAACCAATATTGGGTACGGAGGGCTCAGTTTGGAGGCTCAGGCGAGGTGACATCCGTCGGGTTTCTGTGAACGGTCCGCCATCAGCACTGGCAGTCAGATCATCAGAGGCCAGTTGCGAGGTATGCTGAATGGGTCGCGTAACATCACTTGAAAAGGACATAGACATTGGAAAAGAAGACTTCCTGCTGTGTATTGTCACGGATGAACGATGGTGCCTGTGCTGGGGTGACAGCGAGCCATCAGCGGCAATGACAGCTGGGGGTGGGATAAAGAGAGATCGCAGAAATTTAGCAGGTGTCTGAGATTTAGCATCGGCATGACATCGAAGTTTGTGGGTGATGCAACCGAAGATTGATGTGAGCGACTTAAGGCATGTGTTATTATTGAAAATTGAGATATTGCTGGTTTAAAAAATTCAGCATGCTCACGATAGTCGCAAGTCTGGATACAAGACCAATGTCCTCTTCGCGGGTCCGCAAGATGATATTTCTATCCCCTGAAACGATACAAAGAAGTAAAACCTGGATGATGATTGGCTCAAGTGGCAGACCGGGAGCAGCGGCACGTATATGGGCAAGCAAAGAGGGCAGGAACAATGTGGAACCAGGATATGGCAGATTGTCAGGATCAATGATTGTCACCATCAGAGACACGAGCCTGAGCGCGCAGCGACGTGTACGGATAACGTGTTTAAAAGACACAGGATGATGGGTAAGCCCACCGGAAGACTCGGAAGGTCAAGTGACTTTTTAAAAGTAGTTAACGTTGATATGGTGATTTAGACTCTTACTGCTCCAGGCAAAGCTCTTCGGCTGGCCATATGTACTTCAAGTTACTGATCTCTTCACACGCTGTATCAAGATAATTGAGGCTACTCGAGTCATCAGTTTTTTAAATAGTAAGGCCCGTCCGGTTTTCATGAGGCAGTTGAACGTCGAACGTTAACTCGCTCGGCGTCTGAGGTACAATTTGCAAACCGATTGAATGGTCACCGAGCCTGTCATCATTGCAATTCCCTGTTGTCCCTCAGCGCCATTTTCATCTTATAACAGGCTCTCTTCGCACACTTAACTTCCCTTTCCGTCTTCCCTCATCGTAGCTCTGTCATCCATATCGATCATATGAATGGCAGGTAGCATATCCCAGCTCTACGTTGAGGACGATTCACCGGAGATCGTCTACTACCCGTTCGTAGACACGAGCCTCAGCCCAAATGTTTCTGCAGGCTGGGAGCAGGTTTACTCGGTTTCAGGCGTTGCATCTTCTCCGGGTCAGGGTGGTGAAGGATACAGCACACACACTACCAGCCTCAATGAGGCAAGCTTTATGATTAAATGGAACGGTAAGCACAGCTCTCGCCAATCAACATCAAAACCATAAACTAGGTTGCTCATCGTTTACCCAGGCACTGGTATTGATCTCCTAGGGAGTGTCCAAAATGCATCTTATCAAATAACCTTGGACGGAATCGACATCTCTCCCAATACATCTGACCCGGAATCCATCCTTGCTTCCCTTCACGATTTAACCAACACGAATCACACAATGCTGTTAACGACTCTCACGAACCAAACGATTTCAGACTCATATGTATTTTTTGACAAGGCTCTCATCACCTATACAGCCCCCCCCGGCATTGTCAAGTGAGTTCTTTCCGCGATAGCCAGGGCGCTGATCTACGCTCTTAGCGTGCTGATAATGTTATTTTCAGCTCAACGGCTAACTCGACGACCATCGACGACGATAACGACATTACATTTGTGGGTAGATGGAGTTATGTGACTGACAGCTCGGGAAATTCTATGCATATATCCAACACTGCCGGTGACCATGCTCAGACCACATTCATAGGCACGTACTACTTCTATTATTTGTTAATTATGTCGAACTTATATTGTTCCTGATTCGATTTCCGAAGGATCGGCCTTAACTGTCTACGGCCTCGTGTCTTCGTATTCTGGAAATTATTCTGTCACACTCGATAACATCACCACTAGCTTCTCAGCTTTATCCTCTTATAATAATTCAAATGCGTTGCTGTTGTTCGCTACCGAATTGTCTCAAGATACCACTCATACAGTCGTCCTCACCAACACTCAGAACGCAACATTTGCTATGAAAGTTGGTGGGATGAACATCACCACCTTCGGCAATGCCACTGTGTACGCCGTTTTCTTTCACAGACTGTTGTTTCAGATGCTGATCGACTCATTAGAGATACCGCTACCATCTTGTCCTCATCAAGCAACTCGACTTACGCCGGGACCATTGCCGCTATTGTACTCGGTGCTGTTGTGGTGATCCTCATAGCAGGTATCCTCATGTACTGGCTATTTGTTGTTCGCGCGCGCGCTCGTTGCAAGCAGAAATTGAGCCACTCGCTCTCCAAGAAAATGGTGGACCCAGAACATGTCATTGACATCAGCCCTCCAGGCGAAGAAGAGACCGAAGTGGCAAGCTTAAGTACCAGCAAAGGGTATGGATTCGGACTTGGCCTGCAACGCACCTTCCCCTTTGTCCGCAAAACGAAGAACGGGGGCAGCAGCAGCGGCCACGTTGACAATACGCGCTCGCGTTCCGTGTCCCACGTTGCAATTTCACCTGAGGAGCGAGACGTCGACAAGCGCTTCTCGACCAACACCCTCACCGTAGAGTTCACTGCCTTGGGTTTTCCGCCGGAATCTGAGAAACTAGCGCCAGGCTGGAGCAATCCTATCGCACGCACGTCGTTCGGTTCCATGGGAAAAGGACACACGCGAGTAGGAAGCCACAGATTGGCGCTTCCGGAACTGTGTGTGGAAGGAGTGGGCGTAGACGATGTGTACGATGATGACGATGCAGATGCCAAGACCCTTACGTCACGGCAAGATGAAACGCTTGCCGCAACGCTTTCTCTTAGCCCGCGAACATCGGAAGCGCCAGGTGTCTTCGTTCCCGCCGTACATTCAATTGCGGAGATTGAGTGCGCGATAACGGAGAATGATGACGGGGAGTCCTCCGTGCCATCTCGGCCTGTCTCACGGTTTCTGGAAGTGAGAGAGACCACCCCGTTCAGGGTAGATATTGGAGCTATTCTCGGTCAGCTCAGGGGACGTCAGGACTCACGACGGACGAGTGTGAGCGGGAATAGTAGTTGGTCTCGGGTTTGTGCCAGACTCTACCGAAAAGCTCACAGAGATGACGGGAAGCAGAGCGTCCACGAGGACAAGTCTGAGAACCCCAGCCCTGAGTCGGTCCCGGTCGTTATGCTCCAATCAGGATCGGGATCAGAGCCGCCTCCAAGCGAGGACGCGCCTGCCTCAGGCACTTACTCCTTCCTCGACTTTAGTTCGTCGTATTCATCATCACATCGGCAATCGAAGTCCACCACGCTAAACTCAGCCGCAGCCGAATTGGGGCACAGCGGAGTCCGTACGCCATGGAGCGATAGCACGTCCATGCGGATGGTGCGCATCGAACGCGATAAACCTGAGGACGCAATGCATTCCGGACCCGATGCACCTTCTACTGCGTCTCAGGGATCTCACAACGAAAGTCCTTCCGATAAATCCAATGCTCATTCTTCGCCGTCTGGACATGCTACACACACTACCCATGGATCCTCGTTTCCCTTCCCTATTACTATTCCGCCTTCAACGCACATGCCGCACCCCTTTAATATCGACTACCAGCGCGAAAGCGAGCACGTGGAACTTCAGTCTTTCTCACCTCCTCGTCCACCATCACCTCCTGTACCCCGGCAAGCGCAGGCTACAGAACCTCGACATTCAGGTCTCCCATCAGATGCAAACTCTCCCACCTCTCCCACAGAGAGTGTGCCCTTCTCCGTATCGGATGTCCATTTCCGACATAGTCACTCTGATTACACTGACATTGACTCACGGAGAGAAAGCGCAGCCTCCACCCTACCTCCACATCCGCCTCTCCCTAACTCGCAGCCAAACACTCCACCGCCGTACATTGTGCAGCGTGTACTTGGAATGACACCCGTTACTCCACAGTTTCCTGCGACTCGTCTTGCGGCAGGTCCTGCAAGCCATACGTCATCAATAATTGCGGAGCGGGTATTCCGACCTGGAACATCCCCTCTTGGATCTTCCCCCAGAGCTCCTTATCGGGTGGGCTCAGTTGATTGGTCCTAGACCTCGGCCTTCGACATCTGGATCACCACACTTGCGACTACCTTTACAAGGCTCATGGAGCCGTGACAAAAGAAGCAATGATCAGTAATAGGCTGCCATCTTTCCCAAGATAACTTCAATGATTGTTCAATGATGACGATTTCTTGGACGATATATCTCATGCTTCTTTCATTTACCCATTAATTTTTGGAAGATACCCCATTTTGCACTGATTACGCTCTGGCCTCACAGACCGATCTCGTTGTCACTCCCTTTGGGTTATCATTCACGCATTTGTACCCTACTACTGCAATTTTTTTTTCACAATTGCATTTTTGTTTTCCGTGGTGATGAGTATATTTCCGCCGGACTAAGTACAAAGTGTTGGAAGTTAGGAAGTCACGAAGTCGGTAAGGTCTCCGATCGCCGCAAACCGAAAGTGACAAACCGCCTGATGTCAAAGACTTCTCGCTTCTGTCCCGGTTCCAGCCCCCTGGAAGTACTTCCATCGGTGCTTGATCCAGTGGGTGGTCCACTCAAGGGCGGTGACCCAAGTGATCCAAATATACTATCCGGTCCAATGCCCGGTGTGGTTGACAGCGGAAGGGTGACTCGGCTAGAGCCCGGACTACCGAATGTCGCACCGAGTGTCAAGGGGGGATCCATATCGAGAGCAGAAAGAAATGATGTGCTGTCGAGATCCGTCTTGGTGCTCGTAATGGTGAGGAATGAATCAAGAAGGCTGTTCTGTCCGGTCTTCGGTGTACCTTTCAAATCGAGTATCTAGTAATTGCACAGCAAATGGAAACATTAATGAACGAAATGCAGCCAAAAGAATGAAGGTGGCCTAACCTTTTGAAAGTTTGAAAATGAAGCATCGCCAATGAGAAGAGTATAGTTTAGAATGAAACCTTCCGGAGGGTCCTGACATTTTTGTAAGTGACAGAACGTGCATGGGAGAAAAGGTAGTTACCACTGGTGTCACAATAACCTTGAGCAGAGCCTCGAGCCTCGTTGTGCTTTTCGTAAGGCTGCGGGTATATCTATGCAACAAATTTATGAGCTAACCTTTCTCAAGATACCGGGTGCCATTCTTACCCCTGCGTTACTACTGCTTCTCCTGGCAGTCGTATTAGGAAAGATTTGACAACACCCAGGTCGATCAGCAACTGCGATATTTTGGATTAGGTCAAAGAAGAGCAAATCAATCAACTTCCAACGTACTTGCTCTCCACCAATTTCTCTCAAAGGTCGACTCTTCACCACTGCATTGGTAAATTTCATCAAGACAAGACTATTAGCCAATGATTAGCATTTCTCCCTACATGGAGTGACAAGACCAACCTGCATGCCTTGTCGAAGAAATTCCTCAGGTACTTCTTCTGTTCAATCAACGGCTTTATAATATCGCAAAAGCTCTCGACAGCCCGGGCAAGATCATCCACATATGAAGACTGTCCAGTGACTTGGTTCAGCTTCTCCCACGACATACGGGACATCGTGGTGAAAGCACCCTCACAAGCGGCCTCCAATTCTCGTAGAAGAGTCGTGATAGAGACGGAAATAACGCTGGCTTCGCATTAGCGATCAGAGATGGACAACAAAATAACAGGAATACATCATGAACAAGTCACGTTCTGCTTGCAATGTCACTCTCTCTTTGAAGTCATCCTGGATCTTCTCTTTGATGTTCTCCTCAAGCTACATCCGGGCAACGATCAATAAAAGCTTCACACCGCTGCGGTGGACTGACCTCCAGAGCCGTGGTTTGACAGTAGTCCGCTGTATTGATAAACAGGGCAGCCTGTTGCAAATCCGCAATATCAAAACGCGAGTCCATAGACCTCCGTGTTTGAGGTGTTGGCCTGCGGATGTGTCAGATGCTTGATGCAGCAGTCTTCAGCTACACGTCACAAACCGCTTTGACTGTGGTGCAAGGATGTCCTCTACATCATACATCAGAGATAAGACTGTAATAAATACCCTGGTTATCTCACCAGCATATCTGCGCAGCCACTTCTTGTGTACCATACACAAATCAAACAGTGTCTGTCCTGTCGATAACTTGGCACATTGCTCAAGACTCTGGCCATAAAAGTAAAACAGTTCTGTTGACGAAGAGAGTACCGTCTGCGGGGTAGCCGCGTCCGCATCTGTAGAGACAGAATCACGCGGAGTGGTATCAAGGGATGTTCGTGGTTTTGCCTTCGAGCCCGGTGCTCGATGAGTGGCAAGCATGTCAGCAAGAGCTCTAGTAATCGGTAGATATGGTAAATATAGACATTAGGAAAAGCAAGTACAGACTTGTCTTGAGCATCAACAAAGACACCAAGATGTGGTTCAAAGGCAGATGACATTGACTGAATGGCCGCTGAAGACGGAGGCGAACTTGCTTCCAGTATCTCATTGAGCTGTTCAAGTGTCTACCGTTAACGAGGGAGTAATAGGTAAGCTCGAGATTGACATACTGGCGTTAACCATTTCTTTGCCATGGATGTCTCGAATTCGGTTGTCTGCCGTAGGGCTTCGAGCAGTGCTTTGATTGTCAAAGAGGAGCCCGCTTTAGACAGCAATGCTACAATATCATCTCTGAGGAAATAAATATATCAATTAGAAGTGCACCATATCTATGGCGTGACGAACCTTGTGATAGCCACAAATTTCGTGAAAAGCGCCCATCCGACCTTCCACTCTGAAGGAAATACGCGGCCCAACTCCAACTCATGCGTTCCAAGCACACGTCTAAACCAGGCATACCTCCGGCTGATATTGTCTAGATGACCTGCCTCGTCTGTGGCACGGAAGATGCGCCGATACTCCTTGAGCTCGAGTGTAATGTAACGGTCAATCAAATGTCTCCGAACGTCGTGGCCTAAAACATCAGCGACAGCACAAGCATCTATTATTTGAGCAGGTTTTGAGGGTTTAGCAGGGTCCTGGAGGTAGCTAAACAGATTCACGACTCAAGAACTCTGCATACTGGGAAATGACTTACAACACGTCGAACTCTGCTTCGAGTTGAGTGCGAATCTCACCCTGAATTTGTTGTACCCGTCTCCAGACCTGGTTAATGCGATGGACAGATGTGTAAGGTTTAAAGGAAGCAGATATCTGCTTCACAGCCTACGGACGAGTCAAGAGGTTGCTGCAAAATGAGAAATGGAAACGAACTGCAAGAGTCTGTGAAACGTCTCCGTATTTCTTCTCTTTCGCTTGGTCTTCCAATTGTGTCAGAGCATTTACTGTGAAAGATTAACGGGAATATTCGCGACAGCAATGTCAAGGAACATACCCAACATCTGCAGGCGTTTAAGTGTCGTCATACTGAGGATAAGGTTCTTCTTCGCCAGATCAAGAGCCTGAATATCCTTCGTGATATCGCGCACAACAGCCTCAGATTCCGTCGCTTTCTCCCGAATGCGTGACATTTGCCCAAGGAGGTCCTGTAATAACACTTCAATAAGGACTCTAGTAGTTGGACTGGCAGGCATACCGAAATCATTTCCTGAATCATCTGCATACGGTTTGGATCTTGGTCACGTATCAGCTCTTCCTTGAGTTTATCAATTTCGCCTTGCAAGTCGCGTTCATTTTGAGACAGTCTCGCTTGAACGGTTTCTAGCTGGCTCAGTGAGGCCTCTGTACCTTGTTCAGTGGGCACGATTTACACCTCGATACGTGACATACCATCTGGGAAAAGCTGGTTCAGCATATCTAGTGGATTGAACTCATTAGACAGAACATCAAGGGGATCGTTCTGGTTCTCTGGATCGAGCTCGAGGATGCGTTGGATTGCGACGACGACCTCTTGAGGGAGTTCAGTATTTTCATGGCGTCCATACGTCGAACGTGTGGACATGCGAGGTATACGATAACCTGCAGAAGAGTTGCTGAGAGCAACTGTTCCACGTAGTGTTAAGGGCAACTTAGAACTAGTAGCCAAATTGATTGCTTCCGGTCAAACAGAGTTTGCCAAATTTAGCGACTTGAACTCCCGTGATATCCTTAACTCTCTTCCTCGAAGATGGTGCTTGACACCAATGACATCCACCATAAGTCCCAGTAGTGACACCCGCAGCCAGGTTATCTCCACCTACCACGACCATCCCAGATTCATTTGTGTGAGCTGTTCAGCGGTCCTGGTGCGTGATCATGATGGCGTTGACAAGACTCCTAAGCCGATGCATCTTCAGGCATTGCAGGATGAAGTTATTAGCAAGTCTTTCTCAGGCAGAGAAGGAAGAGGCTTGTCAGTGACACATCATTCAATTGCATCACATGAGTGACGTGCTTTTTGCAATGGGCCAGCCTCATGCACTCCGCAACCAATGTGAAATTGGGAAAGAAGGAGGATCGCCCACTTCTGTGAGTATGCAACCCTTTCTGTTCGTCCCTTTTGACCATTTTTTGTGTTTTAGCACAGGTGTCCACACCGTAGCTGACATCTTTTGCATGGGGTGCAATGACCGTGTTGGATGGTATTATCATAAGGCAGCTGATTTATCACAGAAGTATAAGGAAGGTAAGTACTTGTACAGATCGTGGCTTAATACCATCTTACGTGCTATAGGAAAGTACCTTCTTGAGCGCGAGAAGATAGTGAAGGAGAATAACTGGAAATTGGATCAATGAACTGCGACCCTGCAAGCATTTTTGAAACAGGTGGAGTTTGTGTAACTCGCCATGCTAATATGATTGTCATGAAAACGTACTCTATACATTAAACAGGCATAGCGGGTGGCCCGGTATTGATTGCAGTGTCTTTTGCTGTTCGTGCATGATGATATCGACTCTCTGGACGTGCACATTTCACCGGGCAACGTTGCGGTGACAATAAATGTATGGTCGCACGTCCATTTCCGCATTGCTAGTCCTTTCATGTGAATTCACATTCCAAATCAACATGACGAAGAGGTAGCCTCAATATATCACGCGTATTCACTATTATTGTTTAGCCAGCTTCAAGCATCTACGCTTCCACCAGTGGGCAAACATTTTGTCGTCTAGGGCACTATCTTGCGCCTCGAAAGTCACTGAACACAAAGAGGATCACACGCAAATTGATGCGCTTGGATAGACTTCAGGTATCCACCTCGCCATTATCACAAGTGGACATGTCTCCCAAGATTATGGCACGGCCTTCACACGTAGCATCTTTTCTGCGTTATACTTTCCGTTCGAAATGTCTTGCAGCTATGCAGCCTGGCACGTTGTCATTTACACTGATGACCACCATGCGATAGCTGTCCTCTGTGGGGCCTCGCATGATGGGCTACGAGGTATCAAAAGATTCGATAGCAGAGTCCAGCCCTACAGATACTCGCCGGCAAGGTTATTTTCTTTGAGCAGGACTTTGCGGGGTTCCGGACGGCCCTTTGAAGCGCCCTCGAGGGTGCTTCAGCGGACATCGAGTAGCTTTATAAATGACCCACCAGGATCTCAATATCTCGCCATCCTAACAAGAGATCATGACATTCCGAGCCCAGCGCCCACTGCCAGTGGAAAAACCTAGTATCTTCTTTCATATCTGCACTCATTCTATTGCAGGCTCCGGTCCAAGGCTTTTATGATGATGTACTCTACGAAAATGATGTCAGTGCAGCCATTCACCAATACTAATCGTTGGCGGAAATCGGGCCGGTCTGCAAATTTGGTTGTGCCTGGCCCACGGCAGGGGTGGCAGAACAGGCACCTGACCAGTGACAGAACTCAAAGGCACCCGAGACTTCCGGGGATATAATTGATAACAGCAGTGAATTCCGCAATAGAGCACAAAACTGAAGCAAGTTGACTCAAGTACTGACTTTATGTCACACACACCATGTGTGACAGTCTGGCCCAAATAGCAGAGTTGAGACCCAACGTGCATCTGGAAGAACTTGGTCCTTCTCTCTCAGTCCGCAGAAAGTGGGTCTTAAAACTTAAAGTGGCCTACGTCACGCATCATGGCAGGCTCATGTTTTTTTTTTACTCGGACTACCAACTTACATCAAGCCGACCTCCGAAAAAATAGCTTCATAATCGATATCATATCGTGATGGCCCGGTCATCCGATCAACTGCTTTCATCCCAAATTTCGACGAATCACGGGTGAGGGGTGATCAAGCCGGCGCCAGCTGACGCTCGTTCCCAGCTTAAGCATCCGTCGACAGCGGCTACCGTGACCAACCCCAAAAATCTAGGACCAAGATCGAACGTGTGGTGCTAGTGGATGCGGCACCGTAACAGCGCCGCAGATAGATGTAGGTTGAAGTCCAGGGAAATGGTCAAATAAGGCCTATTTGGAGGTTGTTCATTCACGGTACGTCGCAATTATATCGCGGTTTGCTCACCGGTAATATCCCTGTGGCCTCCCAGATGAGTTCGGTTATCCGAATTTTCCCGTGATTGCAAGATAATCAATGTCAACCTTCTAAAATCATCATCTCGCACGTTGCTTCTCAAAGCACAGGATTAGTAGAGCTCGTGGTACACGCTTATCACTGGAACCTTACTCGGTTTGTGCAATCCCTGACTCGGAGTAACAAAGGTACGGAGACGGACCCTTATGGACGTGTGCAGTGCCCTGTTGACATTTCAAAGTAGATCGCCCAACAGGCTGGTAAACAGCAGACCCTGAACACATCAATTGCAGGGTCTATGCAAAGACCTCAACCACCGTGAAATCTAGCTACTCTGGGGCCAAAGTTCAGGGCTAGTGTGGCTTCAACAGCTGCGTTGGAACGGAGTTGTAACATTGATGTGCTCACCACTATCGCGCCTCCTACCCGATGCTCCTTGAGCTCCCTCCTCCCACCCACCCTGCGCTCATCAGGAAAACGTAATTCACTACAGGGTTTTACAGAGTGCTACAGAACGTTCTGTAGCACAATCCAACCCGCTGATGCTACCTGCTTCTGTTGCACCCTCCTGCTTTCCAACACCTACTGACTTCTCGCACCTCACTTGCATCAAGTATGTTTTTCCCTTCTTATAACTACTGGAACCATTGAACGCCTCCTCTCGCGTGCTCTCGTATCGTCTTACATGAGTGTGTCTGATACCACGCTTGTGCATAATCTGCACTCTTGTACATCCATGTTTTGACTGTCCTGTGCCACTCCTGCCCACTCTCATATGAGCTCCCCGGTGCTCCTGTACCCGTCTTATCATGACATTCATTAGTTCATGAATGGAGTAGTTCAAATCCAATGCACGTGTAGATTACCTCGTATATCGAGTGACTTTAGCAGACGAAACTTTTTTAAGGAATGATACCAGTAGATACCCGTGATTTGCGACGGTCTGAATGCTGAAAATTCTTACACAATTCACGGCGCCTTTGCAGCTTAGAAAGGGGATGCCATCATGTAGATGTTCGGACAAGTCAACAAAGTTACATCTCTGATTGAGGCCAGCCAATTGATAGCAGCGTAATGCCAATTTTGAGACAGCCAATCGCATCCTCCGCGCACTTTCAAAATGTCAGTTCCCACCTATGAGCACGGACGGACGGACCTCGACCGGAGTTATCGCATCGACACTGGTGGAAGGTATTCCCTGGCGCCTGGGGCAGCCCTTCCTCATACACCGTTTTTTGGCTTCCCTTTCACGTCCGCCACCCTCTCCGTCCCCATGCAGAACTTGGGTGTTTGACAGTGCTACAATGATGAAATTCTAATTATAAACCAACTTAATTTCTCGGTGACGATGCAATATGAAACTATGACTATCAATAGCTACCAATCACAGAAGGCATAGTAGTGTACGAGGTGAGGATGCGGCCTGCAAAGGCGTCAATAGTACTTGGTAACTGACAGGTAACGAGGGGATCTTAGCGCGCCTAGTCTTGAAGCGTTGTTCCGGAAAATCAATCAGTGGCGACGGCATAACTAGGCTTCATGGGTAATAGTAAGGAGCGAGAGCAAGGGTTCAACAATATTATGTAATGAAGAAAAAAAATATTAGTACTGGGGTCCCGTCGGAGGTCATGATGCAGGGCCTACGCTTTGCCACCAACGCCAGTTTAATCTCGGATGAATTGAAGATCAGTCGGTGCAGCTAGCTCCCACGGGAGACTAGCAAATCACCGACTCGCCGCGATCCGAACTCACCCATGAATTGACACAGGTGAACAGGGGGTTGACCTGGGTTGACATGGTCATGTTGTACAGTCATCAATCTCGTTAATTAACCACTGGCATGTGCATCCACACTCATTGGCTGCAATCAATCAATAAGTCAGATTAATCCTGCACGGACTATCAGAGATCGATTGCAGATCAAAATTTATGGCACCCTAGTTCACATATAAAAACGCTCTCTCCTGCTTCTCTAGTTCCTTATACATGGTATCTCGCATCCAACTCCCGCTACATCGTGAGTCTTCTCTTTCACCCGTTTCCTTCATAGGAATGACCGACTGTCTTTCCAGGTCTCCTCGCCGTCAGCAGCTCCAGCTCCAGCAAGAAGGTTTGTACTAGCTAATTTTTCTGACTCGTCCACTTGGGGTGCTCATCATCCTGTCTACGATGAAGCCTCCGTGATGCCCTTCCTTGCAAACCTCTTCTCCCCTCGCTCCTCCCTTGGAAATTTGGAAAAACATGGGCCCGATATAGCTACTCCAGACAGCGAGAGTAACAAGTCGCCCGTTCCGCCACAAGCGGTCGCAAAGGAAGAGCAGGAGCAGCTTATATGCGCTACACTCAGTCGTTTCGCCCAGGTCCCGGTCTCGGACATCTTCGTGTATGTTCAACATTGTCCACCATCTATCATTTTGTTTATTTCTTCGCATTCCCTTTTCTTTAGATTGGAACCTGGATGGAACCCTACCGGTCTTACTGATGACCAGGCTTCTGAGATCCTCAAAATTCATGGACCTAACACACCGGTGGCCGAACGTCATCTCGCCGCGCTCCGGATGTTTTGGGGGGCTGTCGTCAATCCGTTCAACATCCTTTTGACCATCCTCGCCATCGTCAACGCTGCCACTGATCAGCTCTCCACCTTCGTCGTCATGATGGCAATGGTGGTAGCTTCGACCGGCTTAAGGTTCGCGCGCCCTGTCTTCGTTCGGCTGATCTAACGTTGCCCAGGTATTGGCAAGAATTGAAGTCCACGATTCAAGCAGTCAATTTGATCAAATCAGTCACGACGAATACTCGCGTTCTTCGTTATCGGAGTTCCGGTCCGGAAGAGGTCGAAATCGATCAGCGGAGTGTGGTTCCAGGTGATATCATAGCCGTCACCAGTAGGTAGTACTACATTTATCATTTTCATCATTTTAACTTTGTGTTCCATAATAGGTGGTGATGTCTTCCCTGGTGATTGCGTTCTCATTACGGCCGAGGCTATCACAATTACACAGGCCTCCCTTACGGGAGAAGTGATGCCCATCGATAAAACCGTGCGCCTTGCTGCCCCATGTCCCGGAGAAACCCTTAATTTACTGCACAATGATAATGTTTGTCTCGCGGGCACATCTGTTGTCACAGGCAATGGGCACGCGCTTGTCGTCTCGACTGGCAAGGATACCTATATGGCTTCTATCGCCAGCGAGCTCTCCAAACGACGACCAGAAAACGCTACTCAGATTGGTATCAGGAAAGTCAGTTATGTCTTGATGGCCTTCATGGCGGTGAGTCAACATTTTATCGATTTTTGTGTATTTTCTGAATTTAATTTTCTGAACAGATTATGGCCCCGATTGTGCTCATCATCCAGGGTGCTGTCAGTAAGAACTGGAAAGGCGCAGTCATGTTCGCGATCGCCGTTGCAGTCGGCATTACGCCAGAAATGTTGCCGATGATTGTGGTATGTATACATTGCTTTCTGATGCTGTGACTCTCAACGACACTTGTGATGCAGACATCCAACCTTGCGCTGTCTGCTGTTCGTGTGGCGCGCAAAAAAGTCATTGTGAAGCGTTTTGATGCCATCCAGAACCTTGGCGCGGTTCAGATTCTCTGCTCAGACAAGACAGGGACGCTGACCGCTGACCTCGTGCGCATTTCAATGTCCACGACGGGCACGGGAGAATCCTCACAACTTCCCATCAAGTTGGCTTACATCAATTCCTCACTGCAAACCGGTTCTCGTAGTCCGATCGACCACGCAATCGTTGACTTCGTCGATCAAAGTGAACAGGACATCTTTACAGACATTCCCGGGGACGGTTGGATCAAGCAGGGCGAAGTTCCTTTCGATTCGTCGCGCCGCCTTCTGTCGGTCTTAGTTTCGCGACCTGGTGGCGATGGCTCTGAAGGACTCCTAATCACAAAGGGCGCAGTGGAAGAAGTCTTGGACCTGTGCGTGTCAACCTACAACCACCAGCCACCTTCCTCGAATGCCCCGGGACCGTTTGCTTTATCCCCCTCAATGACGTCAATTCTCACAGCACCCGAGCGGCAAAATATTCTTGATACTGCCCAGCGTTTGAACGAGGATGGGTTGCGTCTTGTCGCTGTGGCCTGCCGAGAGCAGCTTATCAAGCCGTTTATGACCATATCCCCCTCTGATGAGAACGAACTTACTTTCATTGGATTCATCGGGCTTCTTGATCCATTGAAACCTGATGCCACCCAGGCAATCAAAGATTTGGCCGCATTGAACGTGCAGGTATGTATTTCCTCCGCGCTTTTCTTCGATACAGTTAATCTTGCGATTCGCAACAGGTTCGAATCCTCACTGGTGATGCTCCTGCAGTGGCTGCAAAGGTGGCTCGCGACCTCGGGCTTATACCATCTCGCGATCAGTCGTCGACTACGGTGAATGAAAAGGATGTAGAGGCTTCCTCCTCTTCTAACGGCGATGAAGGACTCATTCTCACTGGCGTCCAGCTTGCGGCCCTTGCAGATGATCAGGATGCCTACAAAGATGCCATTGATCGCTGCATCATTTTTGCCAAACTCTCGCCTTACCAGAAGCTCGAGGTTGTGAAAGCTCTGCGCGCGGGTCACGGTGGCAGAGCAGTCGCCTTCTTGGGAGACGGCGTCAACGATGCTCTTGCTATACGCGGCGCAGACGTCGGGATCTCGGTAGATTCAGGAACCGAAATTGCGAAAGAGGCGGCAGATGTGATCTTACTTGAGAAGAACCTGGCTGTTGTCGCTGACGGTGTGATGGAGGGGAGGATTACGTGAGTGCATCTGGGGCGAGCTTTTGCGCAGAACGCTGAATGAGACGTAGGCTCATGAACACTCTGAAGTACATCAAGATGGCGACCTCTTCCAACTTCGGTAATATATTTTCGCTGTTGGGTATGTGCCCATTGCTGGTCTTTCATACCGATGCCCACTGATGCGGCATGTTTTTGAAGTTGCTTCTGCGTGGCTTCCATACCAGCCTATGCTCCCGATACAGATCCTCGTCCAGAATCTGTTGTATGATTTCTCTCAGGCATCAATTCCCTGGTATGCATCACCACATATAGTCGAACATCTGACGCCGAACAGTATATGTTAGGGATAATGTTGACCCCGAGTACTTGGTGGCCCCGAAGACATGGGGAGCGAAATCGATCATTCGTTTCATGGTTTGCATAGGTCCATTCTCAAGCCCTTTTGATATAATCACATTCTCTATCAACTGGTGAGTAGATCCCTGCGTAATCAACAATCGTCCTTTACCGGGCGGCTCCAGGTTCCACTACGGCATTCGTACGCTCCACAACCCACGCGTTGACCTTGCACAGACGAATTGGTTTCTCGAGGGATCTCTGACGCAGGTACGATCTCAATAAAGCTGTACAAATTCGAAATACATACTGACGATAACGGGATAAGCTGTTGATTATTCACTTCTTGCGAACGGGCAAGGTTCCCTTCATCCAGTCCCGCGCATCGATCTCAGTCTTTTGCACCACCTTCGGTATTGCTGGTATCGCTATTGCGATCCCATACATACCGAAAATCAACACTGCCCTGCAGTTGACTCCGCCTGATCCTCTGTTCTACGCGTACCTGTTAGGGATGATCGCTGGCTATGCTTTGGTCGTGCATATTGCCAAGACGCTTTACCAACTCGCGTTCAAGGAATGGCTTTAGGATACAGGTCGATAACTTGGTAGGGCTAACAGGATTGCGTCGTGGATTTCACAGTGTCTATGTCATCTATGCCAGTTTTTTTCGTTGATTCCAGATTTGTGTCGAATTTGAAGGATATGTTTCAATGCAATTTGTTGTTTCGTTCATCGTGGGGTGTGAATAGAACAGCTTAACAATGAGTTCAGCGCAAGCTGCAACCATGTACTATGTATTTGAAGCTGAAGCATGATATTGGATCCATGATTGAGGAAATATCAGTACTGAAGCTGAAGCTGAAGTGACGATAAATTTAGGAGGTATTTTTCCCGAAATATTCGTAAAATTTGAATTTAAAGTTTGCGCGCTATACAAGCACACCTCCATCTGAGGACCTAACGATGACGCGGATCACAGACTTTGGTCGAAAACGCACGCATGTGCAAGCGGGCTTTGAAGAACCAACAGAGCCACAAGCTTCAACATCCACTCTTCCATCCGAAAGCCAACCACACGACCATCAAGTTCCCCCCAAAAAGAAAAGAAAGCGGACGAAAAAACCAAAAGAAAGTGGTGGCGAGGGTGAGGACGAGGGCAAGGATGAGGCACAGGACGCGGGTGATTCTGTTACAGCGAAAGTCGAGCCCAAGAAGAAACTGAAGGAAAAACGGAAACCAAAGAGTAGATTCTTTCGCTGCGAGCAGTTAAGCGTGTGCTGAACGTTTACAGCTCGACCAGATCCTGCTCAACGTTCCGAATCGAGACGTCAGAAACGAATTGCGGAGAAATATGCAGACACTACTTGTTTTGCGTGTCGCGAAAAAGGGCACACTGCAAGAGACTGTCCTACTATACGTAATGAAGCCGGTGGTGGTGGTGGTGGTGGTGGTGGTGTAGCGAGACAAAGAACTGTTGGAATATGCTATCGGTGCGTCCTCTTTCTACTTTGTCCCTTTTATCAGCAGGTTAGATTCTGTTTCGTTAGTTGTGGCTCAAATCAGCATACTCTCTCGCGATGCAAGGCCCCAGAAGACCCTCATCATCCTCTTCCGTTTGCATCATGTTTTGTGTGTTCTGGTAAGGGTCACTTAGCATCATCTTGTCCACAAAACAAGGACAAGGGTGTCTATCCAAACGGAGGCTGCTGCAAACTCTGTGGCGAAACGTCTCACTTGGCCAAGGATTGTGGATTGAGAAAACAAGGTATGTATTTTTGGTACCAATCTACAGTGATCAGTCGAATGACACACATTCGATGCAGCTCAATCTGGAACTGCAACTTTCTTTGGGACAGGCCAAGACGCCGGTGCGGACGAAGATGACTTTCACTCGTTCAAGCGGCGGAATGCAGATGTAGACAAGGATATAAAGAAAGATGAGAGGGCAAAGAAAAAGGCCGATGTAAAGTTTGCGCCGTACACGGGAACGGTGAAAGCCTTTGGTACCCATGTCGGAAACTCTGCGAAGAAGGTTGTTTACTTTTGAGTACCTGGTCCCCTTATAGACCGAATGTTGAGTTTCCACTGACTTTGGATTCGTATCTTGTTTCATTCGTAAGTTCAGCCACGACTTGGGTTTACATTCTTGCGCAGACACTCTAGAATCTCCTAACTAGGATAAATCGCATGACGTCGTCACGAGATATACTAGATGCGAAACAGAAGTCGGTAACTTACTCCTCAATGCACCGCATGCAAACGCCGCCCTATGAGCCCCATACCTTGTACTATACCGAGTCCTGCTGACAGCTCTGCAAGACCGAATTCTGGCATGAATTTAGCTCCGAAATTGATTTATGGAACAGCATGGTGAGCTTTCAGCCAGCGAGCATATGACATACTGAATTGGCAAGTAGGAAGGGAGAGAGAACGGCCCACCTTGTGATAAGCGCATTCCTGCAAGGCTTCCGAGCTGTAGACACAGGTAGGTGTCCAAGTTGGTTGAATTTTGTTCGTGGTGAACAAATTGTGTAGCATGTCAGCCGAAACACTACAGGTAGGCATTGGATTGCAATGTGCTTCGTTGATTCATCTAATACCAGGCATGTTACAGAGAAGATCTTGTGGGAGAGGCCTTAGAGATTCTCCAAGACAAGCATAGTGTAAAGCGAGAAGATGTCTACATCCAAACAAAGTATGTCGGACCAGTCGAGGGTTTTTTCAGCAGCTTGAAGTGAAGCTTCCTTAGATTCACCCCCTTTGATGGTCAGGATCCAACCAAGCCCCTCCCATATAATCCCCGAGACAGTATCCCTGCCCAGATCAAAAGTTCCCTTTCCAAATCACTGGTTAACTTGCATACGTCATATCTCGATGCTTACCTTCTCCACTCTCCTCTCCAAACTTTGCCCTTAACGCTAGAAGCCTGGCGTACGCTCATGGCTGCACAAGATGAGGGGACTGTGCGCACTATCGGAATTAGCAATGTGTACGATGTTGGAATACTGAAAGCGCTAGAAAAAGAAAGAAAGGTGCAGATCGTACAAAACAGGTGGTTTGAAGGCAATGCCTGGGACAAAGAGGTCTGGGCGTACTGTAAGGCGAATGGAATTGTCTACCAGTGCGTTACTTTCGGATTGCAATGTTTTTCAATGGTTGACAGACACTCGAATAGGTCGTTCTGGACACTGACGGGTTCCCCGGCGTTACTGACACACTCGCACACCACTTCTCTTGCCGATAAGCTAGACGTCACGGCCGCGCAGGTACTCTTCAAACTTGCCCAACTAAACAACGTCGTCCCTCTAAGTGGAACCACGAGTGAATTGCATATGCAGCATGATCTCGCTGCAGAGCGCATAGTATTCAAGGAAGAGGTGCTCGATGATTATAAAAGAATTACAGATCTGATATGGAGATGAGGAAGACAGTGCATACTGTACACCACTTATTTATTTTGAAGATAAAAACGAGTATAGCACAACGATAGTTATGAAGTTATGACCATTCCGTGACACTTTTCCATGATTGCGACATTGTTATTACAGTAACTCCATGCTTACCAGGTGGTGACAATGGGGACAGGAACATAATGAAGCCTATTGCAACCTACAGCAGCGAACAACTCAGATCCGCAGAGGGGCCGTATGAAAAAGAGGGTTCTAGAAGGAAGGCTTTCGTTCTAATGATCTTCTGGATGTCCTTTATCTCTATTTGACCTGTGCACCATACCCTGAACAGAGGGAATTTCACCATGTTAAACACAGATGTGATCCTCTTGCTAATTATACCCAAAACCAACCGGGGAATGAGACCTCCATAGCCTAAGAAGAGTCCGTACGACCTTCAAATCCGTATGCTGCTTGGCATCTGAAGAATGGTCCTCTGTACTTTGACGGGTACATTTTGATAACATTTCCGTACCACGTTTTGTGTCCGTACACAGGCATTCAGCCTATCTTCTCGTTTCCCCAGTGACATTGCAAATTCCAGAAAATATCCACGACACGAGAGTTCTGCGAGCGTTTCCTTGACTTATTATTGAAATCTTGACAATTGATCAACAGCGAACGTAGCAGTGCATCGCATTTCTCGATGATGTGTTGTGGACATCCTCCGTATTCGCGACTGCCTACTTTTGGCTATATCTTCGTAGCACTGACTTCATGGACCGGTGCTGCAGCTGGGTAAGATCTGCTGGTACAGACTGCACCGTGCGCCCTCGTTCCTTGAATGTTTCATGCAACTCCTCGATCTTGATGGCGAATCGCACATCGCGACGCGTAAGCCCAGGAACTTTTTTAGGCTCGAGTTTTCTTTCTCCTACGCGGTCGAAGGTATACGCTGAATGCGTGTGCGAGAAAATATCCACGGTGCTATACTCAATCACGATCCGAGCGTGATGCTAGTATAAAGGTGACAACTCAATTATCTTGGACACTGTGGGGAACTTTGATACGCACCTTTTCTGCCCGTGAGATGTCTGCGACTCCTTGAACAAAGTCCATGACATCGTTGAAGCCCTTGAACTTGTAGCGCCTCTCCAGAGAGAGTATTTCATTTTCACCGACTCCTGTGCAGATGTGGCCGACTGTCCACTGACGCGAAACAAGTGGTTGGATATACGTTGTAATATCTTCCAAGGATATGTGGTGGGTTGGTTTAGTGGGAAATGGCGGTATTTCTGGAAGATTTTGTACTTCGAGAGGGCTCATAGACTGGTGCTTCGGGGAGGAGATGTCTAAACATATAAAATGTTTTCAATACAATTCTCCAAAGCCATCATGGATCTGGACAGTACCTGCTGAAGACAAAACGCTCTCTGCGGCTGGTCACAACTCATCAACAACTGACCAAAGTTAACCCACTCACCGGAGTTCACCAGCGCTTCTTGTAAACCTTCAGATTTATTCTCTTCAAGGTTGTCGAGAAATGACTTTGCATAACCTCGGACACCAGGCTGCATGCGCGTCCGACGTCGTGATGTCTCTACTTCCACTGTTGGTCGGCTCTTGCAGTATAAACGCGCGGCATATACACATGGATGCAAGGACCCCCGTGCAGCTAAGAGCGAGCGTCGACCGGGTAAGTTGAGGCCCTGTATAATGATGCTCATTTTCGAACGATGCGAATAAATAACCACGTGCGGCAGGTTCGTGAATCGTGTTGCTCGAGTGAGGACGTATTTGCTACGTCACAGTCGCTAAGCTCAAGCGCGTAAATTCGAACTCCAGGCGGAGTCTGCGGGCGCCAATGATCATAGGACAATATTCGTCTGCCTCAGGTAGCAGATGTGTTGTGGAATGAGATATAAAGTGTCCACAGCGATCTGCACTAAGTTTGATTTGACCCGTGTGCGCTCAGCGCTAGTATCATGTTAGTGTGCAGATTATCTTAGAAGTCCAACAAGTGCTCCACCACAAATAGCTGCACGAAATCAGCTCACATCAACGCTCAAACTAATTCCGCAACGCAAGAGCATACGACGTAGCATGGCATTGGAACATATGTACCGCATATGTGTCACAAGGAAATAATGTGTCAAATGAAAATGTAAAATATCTTCAACGATGAGCGTGTGAGTGATACAGTTGACGTCGTAGCCTCGAACGTGAGGGTACAAGTCACGTTGGAAAGAAAATATGAAAGGACAAGGACAACGCTTGAATGCATTGAGGAGGCCTATGAGTATTTCATGCTTCTGTCATCGTAACATCACCCAACGACGTGTCCGCAGCAGCAGAAGGGCCGTTCTCCACTGTAGACGTCTGCATAAGATCGACCTTCTTCTCTGCAGCAGCGTTCGCATCTGCTGGCGTACCGTTGACAACGCTTTCAACCGTATTCTCATTTCCCTTGCTAGCGCCAAGAATAGCGTGCCATTTGTCGACCATTGACTTTGCTCGTGTCCGGAACTTGAATTCGTCGTCGCGGGGAACCTTATCCGTGGATAAAGCAGCAATGTGACGCATGACCTTACCGATTTTGGAAAACTGCATAAAAATTTAGGCCACAGAAGCAATGAGTACACGTTGCAAACATGAACGATGGGATGCAGGACGCACTGAAAGGTATAGTATAAGATTGGGATGTTCATAATTCTCGATAGTTGAAAAAAGTTGATCAAGAGCAGGCATTTCCTGGTGGAATGTTGATTGAGGACTGATTGGCCGATAACAAATAGAACATACGTCAACTGGAGGTAACCCTTTGCTCCCCAGAAGGGCCTTCTGCAATCTGTGTCTCCATTCGCGAACTTTCTTAGCTTCGATGTCCCCTTCCAAGGCAGCTGAATGGAAAAATGAGCAAAAAGGGTGTGGCGTGATGGTAGACGGCGAACATACGATCGACATCGTCCTCCTTTTCTCGTTTGGGTTTCTTAGATGGGGGAGGGGCTGCCTTGGCGCTTGATCCTGCCTCCTCGTCCTCCTCAGCTTCGGCTTCTGGCTCGCCGTCGTCCTCTGATTCAACCATTTCCTTCGATTTGGTACCATTCTTCTTCCCTCTAGATGAGGGAGCCTTTTTCTCACCTTTGGCCTTGGGTTTGGCCTTGGGCTTGGGGGGAGGCGCCTCAGATTCCCGCTTTCGTTTCTTGGTTTTGGATGTTTTTTTTGTTCCATCGCCCTCATTGTCACTGTCGAGCTGATCAACAGGAGCGTTGTCCTCCTGTTCTACCGCTGCCAAGTCTGCGTTTTCACGTTCCTTTTCCCATTTTGACGGGTCCAGCGCAATCCGATAGCCTGTCAGAAGGTCGCCAGATTTCTTGTGAGGTTCGTTGATGTATGCTTCGATCTCATGTTGCTTCAACTTGGAGATATCTTTCGACACAAGCCAAGCACTGGATACCAAAGTTTAACAAAGTAAAAAATAACGAGCAATACTGACATACTAGTCGCCTGCGGGGAAGAACCTGACACAGTGGAACGTAGTTTTTTTGCCTGCTGGGCGCTCCTTCGACACAGCGGAGGGGACTGTGTCAGGGTTCACGACCTGCACATGCCATTGGCACGAATGTCTTTCAAAAAAGATCAAAAGACGCGACATACCATGCCTGGCCATGGCGGAAAGCCGCGTACTTTGGCTAGTACGATATCACGTTCTGCGTAGCTAGTCTCTGGTTGCTGTGTTTTATTGCCCTTTTTGCTCATCGTCAAGGATGGCGCAGAATTGGAAGAGACAAATGTAAAGTGCGTTTGACGTTTGCGCGACAGATAAACGATGGTTGAGGAGAACACGAAGGTTCTGCTCGGCTATTTCCACATGCAGCAAAACCCCCGTTTCTTGCCACGAGGGCCCGTGCGCCCTCGTGACCGATCAATGACAAATTAGTCAATTCAAATCAGGAAAATAGTTCCGCAAAAAAAATGCAGTCGAAATCGAAATACACGCAACATGCACTCGGTCAACGCAAATGCTTCGAGCAATCAGATGCTTTCCATGCAATACACCTGCAGCCATTGTGCAAGAATTCTGTTGAACCTGTTCAATCGGATAAACCTTGGAATAATTTAAAACCTTGCCTTATTTGGATCAGGATAAGTGAATGCGCCGCACTCATCATGAGGCTGAGCCAAACCGACCAGGGGAAAGCCTAGTGTCTGTAAAGCGTCCTAATACCGTCGACGACCTGCAGTAATGAATACCCGGGTCATGAGACGATAGTTAGGTAACTTGCCTCAACCCCAGAAAAATGACTTCGCGTGGACACGAGAGTGGAGGGAGAACAGCCTAGTAGCGGCCATGGTTATTCATAAGGCACTGAAAGTGATGCAGGAACCTCGTAGAGGCCGCCGTAGGACGAATCGCTAGTACTCGTTGTGGCATGGTGATTGGATGTCGTAGATACGGGATTGTGCTCAGCGCCCCTTGCCCCGATGGCACGACTTTGATGGGGGTCACCTATCGGACTAATGCCGCGAAGTTCAACCCGGGTTCGAAATGAACATTCGATGCACCAGATCTGTGTTCTGACCGTTCCAGTGTATTATACAGCAGCTGCGCATTTGGGACGAAAGAAGCCAGCGGATATGATGGCAGAAGTAACAAGAGAACAAAGTAGCAAAATATTTTTGAAAATCTGGAAACAACTTCCACACCTACTACGTAGTAATTACATGGGAATCTTTGCAACAATCTCAGCTTATAGTACTCCTGCAGTATAGAGCAAAGCAAGCTTCGAACCAAGATACGGCGTTACGAGGCTCGTACATACTAGCTTTTGATTAGCATGGGCTAAACGTTACAGCGTAACACGATCAGATGCATGGCACTGCACGCTGGCGTCCACATTCTGCCTCTTACTAGTCGCGTGGTTCCATAATGACGCATCATTTAAATAACGACTCTGCGATCGATCTATTACTTAGACACTAACGTTAACGCCTCAAGAAATCTGCCCCGATATCATTTCGCAAAAGTATCATATAGCCTGCATGTGCAGTGAGGCCAGATACACGTTCAACAACATAACTTATGTAAAGCAGAATTAGGCTTAGCTACAAGATTCGTGTCATAGCCAGACCAATGCCATTCCGTATGAACAAGGTGCTATCAGAACAATCGAAGCATCTGTGCGGTATTCGGAAATATGTACGTTAGACCCGGGCGTAGGTCTGGTATATCCCTGAGCGTATATGAAGAAAAAGGAGTCTACGCAGCACCGGCGTCAAGATAGCACGTTTGTAGTAGAGCTTGGGACACGAGGCTCGATGCCTCCCGAGAAATGGAAGGAAATATAAGTAGCTCATGAAGTTCTCACGGTACCTCGGTCAGGGCCACCGAGTACACAAGATTCTCTTGACACTCTCTTTCCAATGTTTGAACCAATTCGGGGAGGCACTCGAGGAGGCCAGGCAGAGTTCAAGTGGACGGATGTCTCCGCAGACAAAGACAGAGAGGTTAGTCGACTGTTACAAGTTTTATTCTAGTGATATTAATTGTCAAGTAGAACTATTTGGGTCACAGCATCAATGCCCCAACCGGGAGATGGCAGAAGAATAAAGATGTTCACTGGTATAATAGAGATGCCAAGGATGAGTCTGAGAGGGAAGAAGAGATAAGAAAGATCAAGGAAGCGGAAGCAGAGGCGCTTGCTGCAGCACTGTGAGTGTTGTCCTTAACATGTCAGTCCAGTATTGAACGACTTTCTCAGTGGGTTTGCCGCAGCACCATCAGGTAGCATCCCTGCTGTAAAAGCCCCCTCAAGCGTTCAATCAGCACCGGCGCATACCCTTGCTGTAGATGGTGGACAGCATCCTTCAGAGAAAGAGGAAAAGCGCCGGAAGAAAGCCGAACGGAAGGAACAAAAAAAAGCTCGCAAAGAGGCACATCGAGAGTCTCGCCATGCCGATTATGAACAACGTTCCCGTAGAGATCGGACCCGTTCACGCTCACCTAAACCCAGCAAAGACGGTGATCACGGCAGGCATCGTCGCCCGCGGCGCAGTCGTTCGCCTCTACCAGCTAATCGCTCACCTCATGCTCCTCGGCATGTGAAGGACTATGATGAAGTTGCACGCGAAAGAGAACGCGGAGAAGACCGGCGGCGATGGGACTTAAATCAAAGGGACAGACTGAGTACCCGTCATGAACGAGATTAACTCGGCTGAGTCTTCTTCAAGAAATATGTCATGCCAGAGTGCTAGTATGTTCATATATTACGCACTTAGAACCTCGCAATGCCTCTTCCCCGCACTAACTCATCAATTTTCGCCTTCTCGGGCAAGAATCATGGCACAGGCCACTAATGACCGCACAATTTTGGAACCTATGTGCCGTAACGAAAGATACGTTTGAAACTTCTAGGTATTGTCAACTGCAGTACGTTCTGAGATTGACCAAGTTTGGGCTGGACGCTGATACATGCGCATTGGGGCCACACCATTGCAGCATGGCACTGTCAATCGGGGATCAAAGGTGTGAAGATCCATGAAATTCTTGATGACGAATTGGCGTGCATGTCGGTCATACCTGAGATTCTTGGCTACAGATCTGTATTCAATTTCGAGATATCCCCCATGCGATAATCACACCGTATCACTCGTTCCGGTTGATGCCTCACCTGACTCTGCCTCGTTGCTTGTCCCAGCGCCTGACAAACATGTTGGCACTAGAGCCAAAACGCGTTAGGTCTGTGCTATTTCCTATGAAACAAGGATTAGGTAAGACCACGCCGGTCGCATGATTTCAGGTTCATCGACCATGAACGAACTGGACCTGATGAAATTTAGGCTTCATCTCTATCGACCCTTGAGATCTCTCAGAGTCTGTCCTCCTGGGTACGTCATGACAGGCACGAGCATTATTAATTTCAATCGACAGGTCCTCGCGAATAGTGTGCATGACGAACACCTTGCTTGATCTTTGATCTACGCTGCCTCTTTCGCATGTCTTCCACTCCTTCTGGCTCTATCGGTGAGTCCGAGGTCGCGCGCCCGAACTCAACGTGTCCATCTCATAAATTTCCCGCTTGACGTCTTTTTTTATATCTATCTCGGCTATATGCCAAGTGCGAATCTCTCTATCTACCGCCCGGATACATGACGGTCTCCTGACATGTCATGGCTGCCGAAATAGGCTCTTGGCTTGCCATGTCTAACTTGCAGAAATACCTGGGGTGCAGCTGGATTCCTCCTTTATCATCCCCTCGCCGAAACCTTTCACACTATCTGTCCTTCAATCTTCATCATGACAAGCTATGGAATGCCATACCTCTTGGAGGATAAGACGGGCAAGCTGACAGGATCACACTTCGTGGACATCAACGATCGTTTACGCCTGACACTTCGGTGCACCACTCGGGAAGCCACACACACAACATACATAATCTACAACGCAACAGCAGGGACGGATCCAGTGGTGACCCTAAACTTTGGCTCCAGCAACTCCCTCGGAACAATAACCTTTGGGTCAGGGCCACAGGTACCCATGAACAGCTTCCTGGAACCATCTCCGAATGAGAAGTAGGTCTAGAACACGGTGCTTTTTTCCCGAGCTTATCTATTATCCAGCGCAAAGTCGAGGAAGTTCATTGGGTCCGATGGCCAGCAGTACAGATGGAGTTGGCGAACCACACAGAGCGAAGAGTGGTCGGTACGTACTAATTCCCACGTGCGTTTTCAAATCTCATGCATAATTCTTAGTGCACAAACACAAGCAATCAGCAAGTTGCGTCTTATTCGTTGAAAGTACCCGGAGAGCCAGAATACGACCACTCCTCTGGGTGCGTGCTTACCATCGAGGAGGCGTATCCGCATCTCGCAGTCGGTATGCCCATTTTTAAATTACCTGGCGGTATAACGCTGATCCGGGGTGTGCAGAGATGTTGGCGTCCTTGACAATAATGAGGCATATAGTCGCCCATAACCTTTGATGTTCTTTGGTGACCAACGCCTGGAATTTGGAGCTGTACTACTACATTCGTATGTTATTATTGTATATTTCTAGCATATCATCTTGAATTGTGCATATTATGTTGGATGACACTTGTATCTATCTCTTAGTCATCACGGACCCTATACGTACTTTTATATAATGTATGTCTCAGCGGCTTGTATGTTTCTCTTGCACGCTAGCTTTGTCTCGCTTTAGTTCGTCTCTTCTCCCTAGGTATCATCAATATCAACGGTTTCCTCTCAAACGCTGAGACTCTCTTATTAGTTCAACTCACAATATATTATAGTCATTGTACCATGTTCTCGAGGGGGAATACAATGTGTGAGACAAGTTGTCTTGGAGTTGTCGCAAAGAAGTCTGAAGCAATACGCATTAAAACTCCGTCCGCACCAAAATGGTACCGCGCACCCCTATAACACGCGTCGTGTCACAGGCAGTTCGTTGGCAGAATCCTATGGGTAACACGGCGGGGGTCGCTTTAGATGCACAATCAACTCCACAGTCCGTAGAAGCCAGACTCACGAGTACACCCAATCCTCTTTTGTCCTCTTTCATATTAACGCACCAACAGGATCTACACCGACTTGAACTCTGGGCGTTATTTCTGCCATCGGTCCTTCGAACGGCGACCGATTCTACTTGGGAAACGTCGCTCGGCAACGATCTCGCCGGTCCGGAATCTATATGCGGATCGACCGAATGTGATACTGAAGCAGTGAAACAATTGCTGGTCGACGGAACGAGGCATGGTAATTTGAGGTATTTTTTTGAATTTGAGTGTGTTAACCAAGGACTTGTGCCACTTAATCTGTTGACGACGAAATCGCAGTGGTGGACTCGCTCCCCACCATGATGGAGAGTTTTAGGATGTGGATATCCTTATATTGTCAAATATCGTTCGTGGCACAGTTCCGCCAGCGGAATTGACCTCAAGCAACTCTGCTCCTACATCCGCTGTACAAGTCCGCCACCGCAACGACGTCTTTGAGTAATCTGGGCAGAGAGTTGGGCTTGCATATGCAAGAAGGGATATCGCCGATGAATTGACGAAGCTTCAAATTCAGTGGAAGAGGGTGCGGACGATGATTCATGTACGAACCGAAGCTAGTATTCTGGAATGATGGTGAAGACCGGGAAGTATCTGAGCTTGTCGTGAGAGAATGCATGCATTGCAAGTCAGAGAGTGAAATACATGAGTGAATTCATAGCTTGTTGAATTATAGAGAAGTAGGACGATGGGCGATTGCGAGGTGATACGATCGATAAGGGTGGCTGGAATATATTAATCAAAGACAAATGGACGCAGATGGCTAAAATATGAAATGTGCCGCGAGGTTGTTGGAAAGGTCCGAGCGGTAGAGTGATAATTCGCAAGTCAATGCCAGATAAGATCTCGTAACTGAATTGTTCATACATGACCAAATAATTTGACTTACCTCCGAGTCGGAACGAACCTTGTAGGTCCCAATATATCACTCCATAAAGAAATGAGATATTTGTGCGCTGGACCAAGTCCTGGCGGTGTTCTTTTATGACTTAGGATGATGAATATACCCGCCAATCATATCGACTCACTAGTACGGTTTTACTTTGCGCATTTCTTCGAGGTTCTGGCTCCATCAAATCAAAATGAGTTTGCGTCCAAAGTATAGCCGGGAAGGGGTTGCTCCCGAGCGAATGAAAAATCAGTCTCTTGTTATCATATTAGATCCTCTCGTACTCCAAGTCGTCATGCCACAAAACCATAAGATGACAACCGAGAAGCGTGCATGTAATGCGGAGAGGACAATAGCGATCATATGGTGTTTCTCAATGGTGCAACAGCCTTCCGTAAATAGAAGCACGCCCAGTTGTTGTTGTTCGAGATAATGAGAAAAACCCGACTCGTTTGGCAACTGTGCAATAAGTGGAAGCTATATGAAATTCGGATTCCTCGTGGAGTTAGCTTTGTTCTCGATGTGCGATGAGCTAGGCCAGTATCGTTTTGACGTCGCCAAAAAGAACCATCGTCATTCTGTATTTTCCGGCTGTGCCAGTGAAGGGGGGGGGACTGCCGATCAGTCACAAGTGCATATGGTTCAGATCATATACACTACGGTATGTCCCGTCCACGTTCAACTAAGGTTACTGTGTTTCATCTATGACAAATGTAGCAGAGCGCTCATGAATCATAACCCCATAGACTTACCGCGCAAAAATTTCCCCGGTGAATATCGGAAGTATAGTTAAGTTTCAGTGGGTGTTGAGTCTTCAGATGAGTTCTTCTTCCTTTTCCACCCTCAACTAAATGGTTGAGGATCTAATGGACATAACTCTAAAACTGGTTTCGGCATCCTGCGGCGTTCACGGTGGACGCGCGCGCTGCCACGCTCATCTGGAATCGTGAGCACAAAGCGTCATATCTAGCACGGAGCAGCTCTGCGGCAAGAGCCGTGGCAACAAACTTTGTTGTGTCAACCTGAAAATCGTGGGGATGCCAGGGCGCGGAATCCTGTATCTCCATACACAAACTCAAAAGTACTCACGTGTTATGGTTCAGTGTTTACGCGTTCACGTTCAGGAATGAACTTAAGTTAGAGCGAGTGATCTTCGATGTCGCAATGATCCGCGAAGTCTGGGCCTGCGAGATTTTTCCTGTGAAGCTACAGGCCTTCAGGGCTGGCTGCCGTTCCCTTAACAGCCTGTAACACCTGTGGATCGCGTCATTTTAAAGTTCATCGTCGGCGCACCTAGCAAATAACGCACCTGAGTTGGCTCTTAATCTCATACATATGGGCGCCGATGAGAATGAAAACCCGTCCACCGCCCTGCCGTCTTGTGGATGAACCCTTTTACAATAAAACCTCAAATTGCAACAAATGGATGTCTAAAAACTTATCTTTTCTGAAGGGATGTCGTCTACTTGAGCCACCTGCCCTGATTTTCTTGTGGATCACCTGCCCATGGCTGGTCAGCACCGTGCCCACCGTCAACCACGATTTACTGCCTAAGTAATGTCGAGGGTTTAGAGCGCAGTGCGGGGGACACATGAATTCCAAGATTAAGACGCTCATACCAAGGCATTGCGCAGCCAAAGATAATATAGGGAACTCATGGTCTCATCTGTGCGGTTATTTTAGTGTTGTTCAATTATTCAGACAAAGATAGCTGTGTGGCTCTCATCCTAGGCTCCGACGAAAACATTGACTAATGAATCGGCCCGTAACTTTTATATGGGCAAATACCAACCAGATGTAGCATGAAATTAGATCCGGGAGAGATCGACTATGCGGAACAATCCTTGCAGTACCCCGCGGAAATACATGCAAGGGTTATGTACTACCTTACATGGACGACCAAGTTCCGGCACGAACACGCAGATTTTGGAAAAAAGAATGGGAGCATTCAGTCACCCCAGGAACGCGATATAGCACCAGCGTCACGAATTGTGAAATCTTCGGTATGTATGACATTGGCATCACAAGACAACTCGGAGGGATTCTTATAGACAGAACGAGTTAGGGTCACAGGATGTAAACTATAGATTAAGAACTCACACTATCAGACGAATCATTTGCATCCCCATCAGACGTGTGCGTCTGTCGACGAGGTGTGAGTGCATCATTGTCTTCAGCCACATTTTCATGTTCATCGTCATCGTCATCAGGATGAGAAATGTGGTCAGCACTGACAACCATCACCCGTCCATGTTCGATCCCACGTCCTGGTCGCCCCCGAGAGATGCCATTAATTGGCCTGTTTGCAACATTGCTCACAGCAGTCGATACAAGCCTAACATTTAATATCGGCTTGTGCGTATCACCTCTTCCTTCCACTGCGTCATTGCTCTGAGACGCGGAGGCTTCCGCATCCCGGTGTAGTGAAGTGCTCGAATACCTCGTGTGTAGCGAATCACGTGCAGGAGATCGCGAGGCCCGCCGACTGCTATCCAAGGTTCCGCCTGAGACGCTACGAGACGGAGGGTCGCCAAGCGACTGGTTGTGAAGGTTAAATGGGAAGGCGGCATTCACATTCACCATTTTTCTGTGTGACATCGTCAGAAAGCAGGCTGGAAATAACATTGTGGAAACAAAGGAAACGCACCCTTCTTTTGATCGCACAACGGTACCCAACCGCTCTTTTAGCTTCTGATGGTCGACCACCCGCGGCTGAGGCCTGTTCCGACTGTGAGAAATAGACAGTGAAGAGTAAAGTGCGGAACTTGCGTAGGAGTCTCACTTGCGGTTGTGGCGGGGATTAAGAAGGTGCGTTCATCGGGAACTGTCTACTAAATTGTTAGGTATATTGATTCCATAAGATGTTTCATTATACACACTAGGTTGCGCCGACGCTGACGAACGCAGCACGAGAACAAGAAATTGAACATGGATGAGGCAAGACACGAGGACAGTTGTATCCCCGAATACAGAGGATACCATATACAGCAATTTCGGTGCCAATAGTGATGATTTAGAATTTGTACGATTAGACAATCAAACAAACTGTTTGCAGGCAAGGCTGTATAGCTGTAATAACAGTCCGACTGACTGTTAGGTCAACTTATTCTACGGAGGAGAAGGATGTCCATACAATTGTCCTGCACGGTAGGTCAACGCCAAGTTTCGTCACGCGTCACAGCCACCCTTCAATTTAACCTACGTTTTGCATTAAAGAGCATAAGTATTCTAATTTGGCTTATCGTCATGCGCCTGGCCGGCGTCTGTGAAACCAAAGGTGACTGCCCTGAGGGCTCGCGATGGTAGCTCTAAAGAAAAGCCTTGCACGGCCGCGGGACCTGCTTGCACTCCGTGCCCTGAGGCTGTACCCCGTTACCCTCTGACAGGCACCCGAGGGGTAAATAGTACGGGTACTAATCTCATTTGTAACGATGGCAGTACTAGTATGTTTTGGTGAAGTGGCATTGAAAATTACGGTGAACTTATGCCGTCCTCCAGTTGGAGTACTAGTAGGATGTTCAAGTCACCACACTAGCATGGACCTGCACGAGGTTAACGAGACGGTGATCGCACCTATATGACCAGGATAGGATTTGACGTAAGTAACAACATTTGGAATCACATCGATTGTAAGGGACTCCACACACCAAGATCCCAGAGAATCCCCCGCGCTGACGTGTCTAGCCGCGATCAAAATCAGCCTAAATGAGCAGTTTGGTGCGATGTGACCGCAGTTCTCTGCCATCTGTGTGGGGTATCCAACCGTAGGGTATCTAATCCCCTCAATCGCAGATTTACGACGAGGAACTTAACAGCGCTTAAGTGACTTTTGTGCCGTGTACGATACCTTCCAAATTTAGCACGGCTATCCGGCTAATTTTAAAGTTTTCAGACGTGGCGCAATCAGGCTGAGGATATCCGACGGTCGTTAATCGTCGCGGGAAGGTGCGGTCGGAAGTCCGATTGACAAGCAGAATGAAGGGAGTCAACTGACCCTGAAGAGTTTGAGTCAGTGGGGGGGGGGATGAGTCTAGAGAGAGGGTCGGGAGCCGTAAGATATATAAATGATGAATTTAAAAAAAAATCAAATGCGCAGGACTGTGAATATAATATTGAAGGAGATAACCCGGATTGAGGCTACGCGGCATGTAATGGATGTTGATATTGAAAATTGAGCAAGATTGAGCAAGATAGTCGATTCTGATGTGAGAAGGGGTGTTCAAATTTAGTAATTTGTGCAATGAGCCAGGTTGAGAACAAAAGTAGAGGAAAAAAATTAGAGTTTTGTTCGGAACACCTGACAACCAGGCACGCGTACACGGTGCTCAAGAAATCATGCGGCCCCGAAGTTGTGTCGTGGGTATGAATATGATGGAAAAAAGCAAGTTGCACCCCACGGAAAGAATTCCAGGAGGTGGAAGATTTTCCCCCTTTTCATAAAGATATTCAACATAAAATATAAAATATAAATGTATCATAATATCTCTTGTTTGATTTTATGATTGTATCAAGATTTGATAATCATTGAGCTTGCCGTGGGCATGTGTTCCCCTTAGCAAGCACTTTCTCCTTCAAGTTTTACAACTAAGTCTCGCGTGGCAAAGCATCGAAAACCAGTGCCGTATTACCACTTTCCATTTTCCTTCTAAACTCTCATCCCCCTTCTTTCAGTACTTATGGTCATCAGCACAGACAGTGATATCTACACTCCATTTCCGCAAAGCGTAATGATGGAGGACGGTCCTCAGTCCAGTGAGGATGGCTCCGGCCTACACTCACCCATCTTCGGGGCTCAATTTCCTCAGCCGCACGGAGACAGTAAGTCCTATCAGAACTCGTAGTCTTTTCAAAACAACGTTAATCGTCATTTCACATGTCGTCCACAATAAAGTCCGCTATCATCAAGATCAACTAGATATACAACATGCAGCGGGTATCCTAGCCTCTCAGTTCGATTACACCAATATCAGCATCCACTCGCACCCTCACCTCATCGAAACCCCTTTGAATATTCATTCAAATCAGAATCCTCACCACCACAATACATATCAGTCCGAGTTTCCTCTCTCACAAAGAAATCACCTTGGCCTTGACCTACCCCCCCATGCCTATCCCAACACCCGCCTTCCGCCCCCTCCAGCTCATGGTGGCGCCGTCAATTTGTCCTACCAAGGCCCCCCAAATCGAAGATATTCTGCCGAGGACTTGCGTCCCCAATCTTACCCTTCAGGTGGTGGCTCAGCACAACCCCCTGTAATACAAACTCCAGAGAGCACTCGATCCTCTGTCCCAATCTCAGAGTCAACCCCTCAACCACAGCCAGCAGCATCTACATCCCAGGATCCGCCCCGCAGAGAAATTTCCAATCAAGTGATAGCTTGTCGGCAATGGTGTGTTCATTCTTATCCTTCTTTCAGGCTGCTCATTCACGTGGTTCCTAAGTCGTGCGAGGAAAATTCGATGCGACTCCACGAGACCAATTTGTCATAACTGTGTGCGCCGCTCGAATGAGTGCCAATACGATGCAGCACCTAAACGGCGAGGGCCTGATAAAAGGCCAGGCACTCGCCAGCGCTCATGTAAGAAACGTCCGACCGATGGCTCATCCCCTCCTTCCCTTCCGTCCAAGCGCAAACGCTCTTCTGTCAGGAATGACGACTTCGAGCTTCCGCGGGAGTCTCGTGGACTTGCCAATGTTCCCGCTTTGCGGCCTGATGGGGATAGAATTCGACTCCAGCCCTCACTTTCACCTGCTGGCCCTGATTTTTCTTCGTCTATGCAAACGCGTGCAGCCTCAGACGACAGTTATCCAGTACGTTTAGCTCGCCATGTTTTTTTCATCTGCTGAATATTTTTTTGCTCACTATTTGTCCAGCATCAAGTGGAGAAGTACCGCATCACATCAACGCCCTCCGTACAATATAGTCGCAAGGAGTGGTGGGATAATTTGGTTATGAGCTACTCCACTACTCGGGATCAGTCGTACGTCATTTGCATTATCGATTACATGAATAGACTAATTAAATTATACTTTATTTATCAGTTTAAAGGACATAACATCAGATCTCTCAACATTGTAGGTCATCGACTGATGCACTCCATTAGTTTGATTTAATCTTTGTCAAGGTTCACCGCTAGCGGATACTGGTTATCATTCGTGAATGTTCCGGACTTCGTTCACAGCCTATACAACCCTGAAGAACGTTCGCTTATGCAACCTTCACTTGTTTTTGCGGGGTTAGCTTTAGCAACCCTAATGAAATCAAGTGAGATGGAATTGGGGTCTGCAGGTCGGGAGCGTGCCGTCTGGCTTCGCGATAAGGCGCAGGCTTGGCTGGAAGCGTCACTGAATTCTCAATGGATAGACATAACCCTTGCGAAGGCTGCTCTTGTAAGTGCTTCTAGTTTCTTCTCTCAACTGTTGCTTACGTTCGATCCAGATTATCGCTGTGTATGAGTCCTCGGCTCACCCACTCTATACACCCGAACGCGCGAGACGTTCTCTAGCCTATCTCGATGGAATTGTCCGCCAATTAGGCTTGACGTTCTTGGACAGTAATGAACCAGACGTGTCGACATTCACCCCTAACGCTGTACCCATCACTCACAGACGCCGCCCCTTTGATCAAATGTCTAAGGACGGGGTCCGTACCCCTCATGCAATTTCTCGCAAGTGTGACTGTATCCCCCTTCCAAATTCATCCATCGCTACGGAGCAGTTTTCGTCCTCATGGTCTTTCACGCCACCTTGGGATCCCTCATGGACCCCTGAGGAGATGCACAAGGAATCTTGCAGGAGGCTGTGTTGGAGCGCCCTTAACCTCGTGGCTAGGTACACGTCACATTGCATCGCATTCCAGAAAGAGCCGAGCGATCTTTTCCTAACCGATCCTTCTAATGTTTGTTCCTTATCCATGCATTTAGCTTAGGCTGACAGTTGTACAGTTCCGGTTACTGTTCCCTGGTGAGATATCACAACGAGGGTCCAACGAGCACAAGGCGCAGTCTTCGAAAGAATCAATATGGGCACTCTATTGCCGCAGCATGCTCCTTTGGATTTTCTGTACCACTCGTCTCCGGAAAAATGCTTTTAGCAACACAGAGACAACCGACCTTGCGGTTGAAGCTTGGTCAGAAACCCTTGAAATCCAGGATGCCTTGGATTCCCACACTTGCAACCTCGATATGGCATTGTTGTACATGTGTCGGGAGTACGTCTACAAGTACGTTTATCTCGTCCCCTTAGTATTTTCCATTGATGATAATAACATGCTGCAGCACGCAGATCATAATTACCCAGATTTTACGAGCGTAAGTATCTGTTTTTGGTATGACGTCAGACGTGCTGATGGTGGCGTATCTAGTGGCCATGCAGAGGCTGGAAATTCCCCTCAGTTCAATCGTAAGCAGGCTGAGCAGTGGCGTAAGTGGCTCTATTTTCGGGATGTGTTGATTGATCGTGACGTTGGCAATAACAGTGTACTACCAGAGCCTTTTCATCCGCAGAGTTAAAATGTCAATTCACCATCTCGGGGATCAAGATGGCCATCTTTTCACCAGGCAGCCGTTCCAGGTTACTTGGTTTGCAAGCCAAGTAGCAATGTAAGTCCAGCATGCATTTAGAGACTTCGCCTGCTCAATACGGAAACCAGATGTCTTGCTTTGTGGGAGGAGGACAAGTCACTTCTTGATGCTTTGGAAGTTGCTAAGGACGTCATAGTACCAATCGACGTGCTGAATACGTTATGGCCTTGCCCAAGTCAGTGATATAAGTTTCTTATCATCATCACTGATCTGATCGGGATTCTTAGTGTTATTGAGCAAATGCGACGACTTGCGTAAGCGGGTGACGGAGGCTTGCCACTCCGTCAACATTGCTGCGCCACTGCCACCCAACTGTTCGCTCCCTCCACTTCTCCGGGGTGGCCCATGAACAATCTCGGATTCAACAACTCATACCCAAAGCCTCTTCGCCTACGATCCATTGCAAATATTGTCCCCCTGTTAGTTTACGCCAGATGCTATGTCAATATTGTTTCGCTTTCTGCAGCGTTGGTTATTACTGTATTCGATCTCCCTTACTCTTTCTTCCTTCATAATTTTGTCAAGCTTCGCAATAATTTACATCACCTGATGGTTTCGAAACCTGTTTGTATTGTACCATTTCTGATACCCCATCGATTGTCGATTTAGCCTGCTGCCTGTTCTTCAATAACATTATTGACGACTTCTCATCCCCGCACAGAGGATAACCTTGACGATGAAGCAAACTTTTTACCTTTTGTGAGTTGAATGGTGCCGAAATGTTTTTGATTCCGACGATTTACCACTACGAGGTCGATCAGGGGATTAAGAAGGAGTTGGATTTTCTTTCCACTTGAGGCATACGGACACGGCATAATACTCCACATCACTGGAGAGATAACGATTACAATGCTGTACAGGCATCCTAGTGTAACCAACTACATAGGAGTATGTATGTAACAGCGTTAATGAGTGCGCTTCGTTGCATAATGAAATGTTCAATTGTTCAATTTGTGGAAAGTATAATACCTAAGTCCTTTATGAATGCCGGCTTAACATCCCCTGTGCCGATCCTCTCTGGATTCAGGTCCACGGGCTGCAGATCTCCTGGATCGTGCGCGGCTTGCACGGGATGAACCCAATGGCGAGTATGGTAAGGAAGGCGCCCGGTAGGTATATCCATTGATCACGTGCATATTCATGCCCTGCGCGATCCAGGTAAGCTGTGTGCTTGTACGGTCAAGAATGGGTTCCAGCAGTGCGTCCCTGTACCTCTGCCAACACTCAGAGGTACGATTCTCCCATCTTCTTTGATCTAGCCAGACAAGCGCGTCGAACTTGATCATGAATTCGTTGAAGATGAGCTCTCGCTCTGGCAGCAATGTATGAACGACAAATTGGATGCGCATGGCCTCCTGTTCCCAGTGCCATTGTGTAGTTTCCTGAGACGGGATGTCTCTTCGAAGTTTGCGGGCCATGGCGATGGCATTATCCCGCTGACGAACGAGGGCCATGTCATTCCCTATGAGACTCCTGAAGAGAGCCATTGATATGATTGAGCGTTCGTCCGAAATAGAGTCCGCTCCAGGGACATCAGGAGGTACCAATTTTGCAATGAATTGCAGGTAACGTTGTGTGTGCATCGGCAGCTGCGAAAAGCTGAGACCTGAAAGGGCGTAGGGAGGTGGATCATAGACTGGGACGGAAAACGGAGGCATTATGGTGGTTAGGGACCGGAGAGTGATGATTGATGATGATGGATACAAGAAAATACAGTAGACACACTGATTGCAAGACGATGGTTTGTGCCACCATGATGCGACCTAGCTTTATAGTCGAAAAGTGTGGCTACTATGACTGCCATGGTCATAGCACTTTGACAGGCACTATCCAAGCTGAAGGGAAAAGATAAATAAAGGGATCCTAGTGGATTCCAGCGATGTGTGGTGCTTGGGCTGACAACAAGCTTTGAGGAAACCAAGCAGACAGCAATGCAACAGCAATGACCGTTAGATTTGAAGCTCCGCAAATCCACCAGGAAAGAGTGTTATGGCGGCAGATGCCGAATGAGTGGTTAGCTGGTCATGTTTTTGGTGGTGATCTATGGACTCGTGCTGGCCTTGCCCCTTCTATTTTTTGTACAACGACGCACCTTATCGCCATCGCACCAGTCTCCGCCAGTAGACCCACAACCAGAAGAGAAGAAGTCTCTTAAGACGATCATGCAACCACCCAGAGATGACCTCGACCCCCCGAAGGATGACCCCTTCACCCTTGATCAACTCAAGCAGTTCGACGGCTCCGACGATTCGAAGCCGATCTATGTATCCATTAGGGGTTTGTCCTCGCGTTGTATGAGGTGATGATTCTCCTGCTTACTTCTGGTAGGCACTGTCTTTGACGTCACACGTAAAAGCGACGTGTACGGTCCCGGAAAATCATACAACGTCTTTGCCGGGAAGGACGGCTCAAAGGGACTTGGAATGTCCAGTTTGAAACCAGAGGACGCTGTACCAGACTACAGCGACCTACCAGAGAACGAGAAGAACGTTCTCAACGATTGGTTCTTATTTTTCCAGTACGTCCCGAACAGGTTCGCTTAGACAAACGTGCCATGGCGCTTATCTTGGTTTAACAGGAAACGCTACAACATTGTCGGACGCGTCACCGATATGCCTACTTCAGTTTCTAATCTCGCTAATCTATAGCTATCATCCAAATCGATAAATCCCTGAGCTCTATCGCCGACCATCATTTTGCTTTAATCGTCGTTCAAACTTTGAACTTGTACTATTGCATCACAACTTTATCTTGCATTTGCACGAATACCTTTTGACAGAAATTTGATCTAGTCGTTGCGCCAGCAAGTTGTTGCATCGCTATCCTAGTTATAGTATCATCACCTGCCACGTGTAGGTACGCCAGCGGTTGTGTGGCGTTCTATACCCCCTATATAGTGCCATCGAACTATCAGCAGACCCATGACGCATGGTCTGGAACAAAAATGGATGTTCGACTATGCTTGAAAGGTGAATAAGCTTCTGCCATACCTGTGCAATGCGCTGAACCTGCCCGTTGGTGACATGGGCGCCTAACTAAATCCTATACCTCCTCGGGAATGGTGCTTACGGCGTCCGCAGGCGCCACCAGTCGCCAGCTTCCACTCCAAGAGCATTGCGCCATTAATGTTGAGAACATCAAGGTCTCATGACAGTTACTTATCAAATTTGAGCTATACTTGGATCCGGTGGTGTAAACCTGCTAGTGGCATAGCAGGGCACCGCTCTTGTGATAACCCAATCATCTCACAGAGCCCAACGATCCAGTCCCGCCGCCGACTCCCGAGCGTATGGCGTGCAGATGGATCCCTAATGGGGTTCTCTATGTGAGTTATTATCTTGTCTTACAATAATATCATCCTTAGCTTCGCATCATTTAGGTAAAAATAAACCACCCATGGCCGGAACATCTGATGCACTGCCTGAAATTCTGATAAATTCAATCCCAAACAATTAACGAGCGGTCAAGATAAGGTCTCCAATTACATAGGAATCGTATAAGAAGGGTATACTAGGTTTTGGTCAATCCACGTTTTGGTAGAAAGAAATGAGAGAGGAAGAGGGAGATGACACAACGATATAAAACACTCCTACGAACCATCATGATACGTGTATGTTCAAAAGAGCGCACAGAAACGATGATAGACGTGGGGATCTCAAAATAAGAGAACTGGATAGCCAAGATGTAGAGGTGTGAATGTCTGATGCGATGAAAGCTGGTAGAGCGAACTGCATGCGCGAGAGGCAGATGATGCATGGAATAAAAACAAATACCAAAGGGAGAACAGTGGTGCTATGATATCATCACAGCAAACCACACTCACGAAGATGAATCTGTAGCAGGATATCTTGAATAGCACTCAACACGACTAAAGGGTGGCAGAGTCAGTCTGTGTAGAACACGTGCGTAAGGAGAGGATTCTTACATCTAATTTGTTGAGTATCCGTTGCGCAAGTATAATGAGCGTATATTTGCTTGGTTGCCGCATTCTGATTGAGCGCAACGAAGCGGTGAAGCAAATAATCGCAAGCGGCATCATAGTTGTCGCCGCCGGTGTAGTCTGGGAAGTAGTCACCAAGCGGTGAATGTGGGAGTTTCTCAGCGAACAGATCGATCTTGTTCAAGAACAAAATCTGTGTAGGGTATAAGTATGTAATACGCCACGAGGTAGACGTGCGTACAATTGATGTCTTGACAAACCACCGTGAATTGCATATCGAATCGAAGAGAGTCAGGGCCTCTTGCATGCGATTCTGTGGACGTAATCAATTTGAAAGGAGATACACTAATAAGGAGCTTTGTACTCACAACGCTCTCATCTTCATATAACATCTGATCGTACTCGCTCAAGGATACCAGAAATACCAACGCTGTGACGTTCTCGAAGCAGTGAATCCACTTCTTACGTTCACTCCGCTGACCTCCGACATCAAAGAGTTTGTACGTAAGTTCGCCGACCTTGAATGTGGTTTCAGTGATACCGGTTGTCTTCACTCTACTCCGCAAGATATCTTGATCCGTCGGCAGGTACCCTGGTCCGCACATGCGATCAATTGCGTTGAAGTAGTAGACAGCAGAATCGTTCAACTGGAACTCTCGTGACCGACGAACGGCTTCCTTGACACCTGAGTCTCGCCAAAGTCCTCGAATGGCATCGGCGACATCCCTTGGAAGCACGTCACCCTCAATTTGGCCGGGAAGAGCGAGGATTACGGCACGACGAGCATCATTCTGTGGTGATAAAGATATATCAAGCTGAGGCATAGCCTCCAGAATGGCGCTAGAAGGCCCATCAGGGTTACAATGGAGTTTTAACCGGTTATAATACGCACCGCATGGACTGAATGGTGTTCGAGTAAATGATTTCTTTGTAGGAATCTCGTTCAGAGTCGTTATAGCCGCCATGATGGATGAGTTTCATCTGCTTGAGGACGGTAGACTACGAAAACACGGTTCGTCAGCGATGTGTTCGGAATGGTCAGTGCGTAACTGACCTTTCCTGACTCTCCTGCTCCTAAAAGCAACATTTTAATCTCGTTCTTGGCCATCATTCGATCTCGTCTGAGTTGGTTTTCAATCTCATCGTTGCCTAGAAAAGAGGAATTGAAGTCAGGTCTCGTTCGGATGAGTGTGGTGTTGAAACACGCACGAGCCTTGGCCTCGCTGTCGACGGCAGTAGATTGAACACAGCCCATGTTTTGGGAAGGATGTCGTGCGTGAATAGAAAGAAAGGAACAATGCGAACAAGAAGACGAATGGTAGAAATCAAAAGTTTCGAAAGAGCGGGGTGATCCAACAATAATTAGTGGGAAGTTAGCAAGCAAAAAGAAGAAACCAATAACATGGTCACCGTCCCCGAATTTATTATATTTGCTTAATTATTTTTCACGGCATTGTACTTCGGCATCCAGAACTCTGACAGCATATCCCATAATTAACGTTGATCTACAAGCTACTGAGTACATAGTGAGAGTATGTAAGATTCGCTTAGTCTAGAACTCTTGTCACTCAGAGGGACAGAGCCGAATGTTCGAGAGCTTACACAGCTGCAGTTCTCAACGTGTACATGCAAATAGAAATGGCATTGACAAGCTACAGCCATCGCCTGGGCCACTACAAGTAGTGGGAATATGTACCTGGCAGCTCGGTGGTTGTAGATGTAGTTTTAGTTTTACACATTCTCAGTCAAGAGCACTGGTCCAATAGCATTAATATTATTCTGCTTGATCAAATTGCAATGATATACTTAGAGACCTGTGCATCGACGTCAACCCCGCGAGTAAAGCAAAAGGTTCATGCGGAAAAAAAGTCGAGGTGAGCCCTGGTAACTGTCGGCCCCGCTGCTCGCAGTGACGGGACTCCGCTCATGGCAGGAAGTGACAAGGCCTTGCCGCTCAAATTATATAATATTTCATGTATGTTGATATTCATATATTCATATAATATAATATAATATAATATTAATAAGCGTTTGTTTGTCATAACTATTACATCACGTGCTGGACCACGACCTTCCACCTTCCACTGGCAGAAGGATGGCCCAAGGGATGTCTGCTGAAGAATCCTGTAACCGTGCTGGAATTCGGAACATAGTTCCTCCGGTTTTCAACCAAGCAGCTGCAGTCTACGATCCCCCACCGCCTTATCCATCCCAAGAACGACGCTCACGCGCGACTCGACATAGTCGGAGGCATCGCTTACCAGCGCCATTATCACCGCAGCCTCCACCAGATTTAGATCCTACTTCGGGATATATCTCCCCTCAATTATCAGTCTCAACTCGTTCGTTCCCTCGGACTGAGGATGCCACAGAGCAGACGCCACTACTTGGTGATTTCCTGCCAGGCTCCGCCCAACGTTCGTCGGGACGCCAGAGGACATATTCGCAGTCGAGCACAATTGTTTCGTCCAATTCGTTTGCCCCCTCTCTAGCGCAAACAGTGCTATCCCTGCTCCATTCTGATCCAGATATCGAATCTGACGTTGACATATATGAGGCGATCGGGGATGACCGTGACTACCCATATGCACACGATGGTCATCCGAGGCGTCAGCAACGTCCCGGTGCACTAACAGAATCACAATTTGGAAGCTCGCACCGGCGGTCGCCGTTTTCGCGGCGCTTCTGGTCTCGTTACTTCCGACCCATGACTCGCAGAGCATACCATGCAGCCGTATTCCATCTTGTAGTGCTCAATTTTCCCTATGCCCTGCTTGCATGGGTTTACCTTTTTGTATTTACTTTGGTGAGCATGTTGTTCTCGCCTCTATTTTTCTGTCTCTTGGCGTTCAGTTTGGAAATTGAAAATTGTTGTCACTTCTGACCGGCCTTTATAGACTGGTACAACATTATTAATTGCCTTACCTTTGGGTGCTCTCCTATGTTTCCTCAATTTGCTCGGTGCCAGGGTGTTTGCAAGGGGAGAAGTGCGTCTCGCTTCTATCTTAAATTTCAAATTGAATATGAAACTGAATCCGTAGCTCGGTCTCCAAACAACATTCCATGGGCCTCTTGCTTACCCACTTCCCTATCCGCCCTTACCTATCTTCCAGCGGGTGCGGCCACCGCAATTGTCTGACGTGGAATCAGGGTCACCGTACCATGAATCCTCATTCTACAAAAACACGATAGCCATGGTGCGTACAATCCGCCTTTCACCCTCTAGCCAAAAGCCCTCTTACCTCCGTTATTCGGCCGCCCATCGTTATAGTTCACGGATTGGACATCCTATCAGGCGTTATTTTATTTTTTGGTTATCAAACCAAGTATCACTTTGTTTCTAACCATCCCTCTACTGGTAGTGGTCCCTGTGTCGTATGTGTTGGTGTTTCCCGCCCCAATGGTTCTTAGAATTGTTCGGAAGCTGGGAATATGGCAGGCCAATGTTGCTGTAGAAGGGTTATACTTGGCGGTGTCGTGATTCCCGATTCATTCAATATTTAGGAGTACACATGTATCTACTGTACATAGATATTCGCTTTTTCCAGAAGTTTTCAATAAGCTGTGAACCATGCTGTGAAGAGGTGGCGTGACCAAGTTGGCCGGCGCTTAATTCTGGGAGTAGAAGAAATACCCACTTTCTCAGGCTGACGCGGCTTGACCTCCTCCTCATTGCATGAGAATCAGAACGGGACCGTAGTGACACTCCTCGACTTATTTTGTTGCCTCACTATTTGTTTGTCTGTTTCCTGGACGCTCATAGTCGTAAGCTAACTTGTTTGCTGCTTATAGCCTATTTGCACCAGACAGTATATCACCTTACAGCGTTTATTAGATACCATCCTCCTCTTATCCTCACACACCCACCTTGTTGTCTACATTTCCGCTATTTACACTCAAAGTGTCCTTCCTCGCAACGTTGGCTTGTCCACTCACCTTGAGACATTACCATTATCATGGACGCTCTCAAGTCGCTCGTGCAACCCCTCGTCGGAGGCGCAGGAGGTTCCTCAGTCATTGACGGCATGAAGCTCGTCGTCCTGGGAGGAACCGTCGAGACAGCCAGAAGAGCCTCTAGTTCAGCTTGGTATGTCCTGAATCATTCTCATCCACCTCCTCGCTGACGACAGCATACCTCAAAGGTCTCATTTCCTCAACTGTAAGGAGTCGCCTGTCATTTAAAGCCTTTTTCTGACACGCTATTACCTGACACAGCATTCTTCCTCACTGCGCATTTCTCGGAAGAGGACTATCCTTATGATTGGCTTATGCTGTGGCTCTCACGCCGCCCTGAGTGGCAGCGCTCTAGAGAGTTCGAAACTACTACTCGTACCACAACCCCCGGCTTCTCAGGATCTCGCCAAGCAGACAATTCATTTGGTGACGACGAAGAGGAAGAGGGTGACGAAGATTCACCCCCCGGCAAAGTCAAGACACGTGTCGTATTCCAGCCGACATTTGACACCACACACACAATTTATTACAAGGGTCACTGGCTCAGGGTCCGTCGTAGTAAAAAGCAAGACGGTAGCGGATGCGAAGTCTTGTCAATAAGGTGAGATTTCAAATTATCCTTCTGACTCATTTTTAGCCTCGTGGCTGATGTATGCTGGCATTACAGCGTTGTTGCGCGGAATAACACCATCCTCAAGCAGCTTGTCTTACAAGCCAAGAAAGAGTATGAGGCCGAGGCGATCCACAGGATCCAAATATACTTTGCAGACTCGCACGGCAGTTGGCGCTGGACCGACTCTCGTCATAAACGGCCCATGTCGTCCATTGTTCTCAACCCCGGGGTAAAGGAGATGCTTCTCAACGACACGCGTGACTTTTTGAAGTCCGAGAAGGTAATTTCGGTATTTTATCAAAGTCACGTTTCATTGATCATAAATCCACAGTGGTATGCGGATCGCGGCATTCCATTCCGCCGCGGCTACCTGCTGCATGGTGTACCTGGCTCCGGAAAGAGTTCCCTTATCCATGCCATTGCGGGCGAACTCATGCTTGACATTTATGTTGTGTCACTGTCTTCTTCGTGGATCAGCGATAGTACATTGACCACCCTCATGGGTCGTGTCCCGGCTCGCTGCATTGTGCTTCTGGAGGATCTCGATGCGGCGTTTACACGCAGCGTTACGCGTGATAAGAGTTCCAATGGCACTCCGGACTCGTCGAGCAACAGCTCGGAAGAGGGCGCCCCGGAACAACCGGTGACGAGCAGCAGCTCGAGACACAGACGTCATAAGGACCACATTTCCGATGTAAACACACTGAGTTTGAGCGGCCTGCTGAACGCCTTGGACGGTGTAGCTGCTGCCGAAGGTCGCATCCTCTTCGCGTAAGTTTGAAATCCTTCGGTTTAGAACGCTCTGACGTACACCTATAGCACCACCAATCATCTGGAGCGTCTAGACCCTGCGCTCTCACGTCCGGGTCGTATGGATGTTTGGGTTGAGTTCAAGAATTCTTCAAAGTGGCAAGCGGAGGCTCTGTTCCGCAACTTCTTCCCCTCCACGGATCAAGATAACGAAGTCATAGAGGGGGACATAGAGGGAATTGACCTACCCACAACGTCCCAGTCGTCCTCTCCATCACCGTCTTCGCAGTCTTCAACGCTGTGGTCTCTTTCTCCTTCGTTCTCGTCGTCGACGTCATCTCTGGCGTCTTCCAAGGAATCTTCGCCCTCGAAGCCTCCCCGAGACGGCTTTGGTTCCAAAAACCAAGCGTACTTACCACCTCCGGTTGAGGAGCATCTCACTGCATGCCAGCACTCCGCCAAGCCTTTGGATGGTGCCAGACTCGCTAAGCTCGCGAAGATGTTTGCGGATTCAATTCCAGATGACGAGTTCAGCGTTGCGGCGCTGCAAGGCTGTGAGTTTCTTCTAATTTTATGGCGCCCCTTGTGCTTTGATGTTCCTTTCAATCGTGCTTTACTTGGTCTACTGTGGGCGGGGTGGTGAGTGAGGTGAAATCATGTGCTGACACGTTTTTGCACGACTTTAGATCTACTCAAGAACAAGTCGCAACCTAAAGCCGCTGCCAATGGAGCTGCTGCCTGGGTGATCAGCGAGAGGGAGCTCAGGGAACGCTTGAGAAAGGAAAAGGAGGCTCGTGAAATCAAGGAAAAACTTGATGTGAGTATTCGGAATTTTGACGACTTTGCTGAGCGTCACTTGTTCCCCTGATTATCCGGCTCAACTGACGTACTCTACCTAGCGTGAGAAGCGGCGCAAGGAACTCCTAGAAAAGGAGAAGGAGAAGGCTGAGCTTGAGAAGAAAGAACTTGAGCTTACCAAGCTCAGACAGCAGCTTCAAGAACAGGAAGCTAAAGACAAGGCCGAAGCTGACAAGAAGGACGAGGTTGTGCCCATTCCAGATCTTTCCGTCGACGATAACAAGGGTGAGCCTTCTACCGATGACGACAGCGATGAGGAAAACGTCCCACCCCCCTCCACTCCACCTGAAGCGGTTTGGATCCAGGTTGCCGACTCGAGTTGACTCTCTGCAGCTGATCCCGGTGCGGTGAATGCACCTGATCCTGATGTTTCCATCTTAGAGCCGACCGTGGCATTCCTGCATGAGGATCCACCTGCACGGGACGTCACACAACCGACGACGCAAACCATCATTACCAGACCCGCTCAAATGGCCAACGTTCTGACGCTGCGTCACGCTGGAGGCTTCACGTTGGTGTATTATATGCTCCATTTCTATTTCATTCATCTCTACGCAATGCTATTGCATCTCAATCCCGTTGGGCGGAGGAGGCAGGCTTAGGGGTTATAGAATGACTTGCGATGCCTTATTTCTTTCGTCTTGACACTCACAATCACTATTCCAAATTTCATTGCATGTTCTCATCGTTTCTTTCCGGCCCATTGTATATCTTGCTCACCTCCTTCGCACCGGTTCCATCCCTCCGCTCGCATCTAATTTTCCTGCAGTGCTGTTATCTTGTTTGGTAGCCCTGTTCAATGTATATTCGCACGTTGGACTCTTATCTCTCGCTTGCCAGAAAATTCTCAAGAAATCGGCGGGGCCGTTATATATATGGTCGTCTACATTCCCTAAGAAAATATAGGGACTGCTGACATCCATGTGCTGCAAAAGAAGTTTCCATAATTTGGTACAGCGGGAAGGTGATATCTAGTGTACAGATCTGCTTAATATGCGCTGACTTGCTGTGGGAGGCCGTTAGGGAAGTATTGTGCGAAAAGGTCCGGGTAGTGACGTTGCGCAACGTCAGGGTGACTCCTAACGGAGACATTCAAAAATTGCTGCCGTAGATAACCAATCGGAGAACTTACTTCACTCGCCCGATGAGGTTCACTTTTCCAGATGGCTCGCGGTCAAATTCTGCGAAATTGACAGCTGTAGAGCATGCATCAATAATGTTATCACAATACAAAAACAGACGACGTACAGTCAGTCTGAACAGGATCTCCTCGAAGCTGTTTGAGCTGAAGGATCTCAGGTGGGACTGTAAAATGGTGATCAAGGTGTGTGAAGCAAGGATTTAATCGAAGGCACTCACAGTCTAAGACTTCATCAGCGAGGCAAGCGTTCAGACTGATGTTCTGGAAAAACGGCACAGAATAGCGGGGAGTCGAACCCACAGGGGGAGATAAGACGCGGTGCGATGTGGCTCTCGCCAACCCGCGGGTAACAAACTCGAGTGCTAGACCGTCAGAACGAAGAAGTCAGAGCTGAAATTCAATGCGTCGTGCACTGGCAGTTTGCAGCCTACCCTTTCCGATATTCACAACGAACGTTCCTGGGATAGGGGGAACGTCGATCCATTGCCCAGAAAGGTTTTGTACCTGCAGACCACGATGAGGTGAGGCGACAAGAAGGAAGGTCAGGAAGCCAGCGTCATAGTGTGGGCCAACGCCTTGATCAGTCAAAGAACCATCATTAGCGGGGTATTTGACGACCTAAAAACAGGTGAATCCTGGTCTCGACAGAGTGATCCTCGTTTGATATTTACCTTTCCGCGGTGCTGCATGAATTTATCAGCATCGTAAAACTTGTTCAACGCATCAGAAGGAAGGCCAAAAGCCTCCGCGAGTAAGCTGATGAATTGGTAACTCAGAGCCTGAACTTGCTGGAGATATGTCTCCATGGTATTTTTGAACCCTGGGATAAGGCCCTCATCTGGCCACTAGGTGAATTGGGTTCAGTTTGCGCAGCTTTGAATGATTAAATACAGAATCCTCACCTGGGAAGGTCCCCATAGGCGCAGATGCTCAGGGGCTCCGGGTTTCCACTGTGTCTCATGAGGAGTTGCGAAGTCGAATTGCTCTCTATAATCCGTCTTGCCTTTGGTGAATTCCGCCCCTAGCCTGGAGTACCCAAGGAAATGTGGTGAATTCGCCATAAAAATCTGGTTCTTAGCCTCCTGGGGAAGGTCAAAGAGTCGGGGGATATAGTCGATTAAATCATTGGTAACTTTCTGTGAGACGGTGTGGTTGTCGAGATACAAGAATCCGACATTTATCAACGCATGTCGGAGTTGCAGGATGAACTCTGGTTTCGTGGCATTATCGGACA